CTTTTTGATGGTTAACTAGAGATGTGTCTCATGGACCTTTCTGCCTGCGCTGGCCTTGAACCATGATTCTTAAATACTGTATGAACTACCAGAATCTGGCTGTTTTCATACCTTAAAGCCCTTCAGGTGATTCTAGAGAACCACTGACCTCGGAAATTACTAAAAGTTTATCATTGCCCTTTGCTTTACATATCATCGTTTAGTTATATGTCAAGAACAGAGAAGCCCTATTTTGAGAGGTTGAATTGGGAATCTTTATTGGAAAACTGGCAAATGTAGGCAGACTCTTGTCGCAAAGACTCTGCAGCCCTGCAAACACTTAACACTGTCAGAAAATTGAGCCATAAGAGCAGGAGAGGAAAGAAAAAGTATCAACACACCAGATAAAGAAAAATATCAATACACCAGATCAGCTCCAGTGGAGAGCTGAAGTGGCACATGATGGTAACCAGAGGAGAGACACAGGACATGGAGTATGGCACACCTGTGCCTGAGCTGGTCTAGGCCTCAATGGGATCATGTCAGGGGGCGGGTCACAGGGAGCTTGATTGTTTCCGACCCACGACTGACAGTTAAGTAACCCATTGTCCAATTCCTCTACCCTGTCTCTATGAATTCAGGCACACTCATGAACTTGGGAAGTGGGACCTCCCTATCTCTACCATGAAGACAAGAGGGTGCCCGTTAAACCCAATATACTATCATCTACCATGTGGCCAATTAGATTCAGCATCCCTACTTCAGTTTCATGTATCCTATAGAATCTTGTTGGGATTAAAATTTCAAATTACAATCTATCTAGGTTCTTTCCTAAATAAAATTTGAAGCAATTATATTAAGTTATATGGATATAGATGACAACAGCCTATTTAGGAGGTACCCTATTAGATTGACACACCTAGAGAGGGAAAGGACAGATTGTGTGTGTGTGTGGGGGGGGGGTTTGTAAGAAAACTTGGCAGAACCTCATTGAGTTAACAAGTGGACAAAAAGATAAGCAAGGGCTGGGAAGGTGGCTCAGTGGTAGAGCACTTGCCTTGCATGCCTGAGGCCCTGAGTTCGACTCCTCAGCACCACATAAGCAGAAAAAAAAAAGCCGGAAGTGGCGCTGTGGCTCAAGTGGTAGGGTGCTAGCCTTGAGCTGAAGAGCTGAGGGACAGCACCCAGGCCCAGAGTTCAGGCCCCACGACCAGACCCCCCCCCCCAAAAAAAAAAAAAAAAAGCAATACCTTGTGTGAGCTCCTGGTTGCCAGCACCAGGTCTCAAGGAAAGGACAAATTTTATAAGCCAGTCAAGTTAATTTGTCTTTGGGTAAATTAATTTGTATTGATTAATGTTTATTTTGTATTACAGGTTTTATTTTGTAAAAAAGTTAGTGAAGAGAAATGGATTAATTCCAGTGATATATATAAAGTTAAATTATCTGGGGATAATGCTAACAGGTGCTGACCTCTCATGCCTGATATTCTAGCTCTGGTGACCGAGATCTCTAGACTGGGTTTGAAGCTGCCCAGTTTGGAAAGTCCGGAAATTCTTATCTCCAACTCACCACTTAGTTGGAGCTGTGGCTCAAGTGGTATGCTCCTAGCTTTGAGTTTAAAAAACTAAGGGACAGCATCTTGGTCACATTCAAGACCTAATGTCCACACCAAAAAAAAAAAAAGTCGCAGAACTGGAACCAATTTTTTTTTTTTGTCATGGGGCTTGAATTCTAGGCCTGGGAGTTGTCCCTCAGCTCTTCAGCTCAAGGCTAGAGCTCTACCACTTGAGCCACAGCGCCACTTCCAGCCTTTTCTGTTTATGTGGTGCTGAGGAATTAAACACAGGGCCTCATGCATTTGAGGCAAGCACTACTGCTGAGCCACCTTCCTAGCCCTGGAACAAACTTTTATAGGCCATTTCCATCTAGTTTCCTCCTTTAGTTTTTGCCTTGCCATGATTGAAGGATTTATCTCCCCTGAGCCCAACCTTTTTTATATATCTAAAGATGGAATATGAAGGATTCATTCCCACCTTATTCCCCCAGGTCAAGCAAAACACCTTCTGTTTCTTGTTAAAACCCATATAATGTGGCTAGGAAGGTGGCTCAGTGGTAGAGTGCTTGCCTTGCATGCATGAGGCCCTGGGTTCGATTCCTCAGCACCACATAAGCAAAAAGAAAAAAGCCGAAAGTGGCACTGTGGCTCAAGTGGTAGAGCACTAGCCTTGAGCTGAAGAGCTAAGGGACAGCGCCCAGGTCCAGAGTTCAGGCCCATGATTGGACCCCCCCCCCCCCAAAAAACAAACAAACAAACATATAAGCCCGAAGCCAAATCCAGCCCCCCTCTCATAACCTCCATACCAATGGGAAGGTCTGTGTCCCTTGCTGGCAATGAACAGTCCTAGCCTGTTGAGAATCTTGTCTGGTACATTCCTTTTCTGTTCTCTATTTTCCTAACAATGATGATGTATCCTAGTGCTTGAATGCTGCAAGTGTCTTTCCATTGACATGCAGCCTCAGTTACTGAGTGATTTTTTTTTTTAGCATCTTATACCACAATGCAGCCAAAGATGGAGGAGTGGCAGATCATAATGGTTAAACACTTGTATAGTGTGTCTAGAGTCCTGGGTTCCATACCCAACACCCAAATAAAAACAAGTGTTAGAAAAAAATTATCCTTTTTTTCATTATTTCCAAGTGTCTCACTTTGAAGGGTTGAAGGTGTGGCTCAGCTAGTAGAGGGTCAGGTAATGAAGGCATCAGGTACTGAGTTTGATTCTGAGTCTCATGTTGAAAGATTTGGAAATTCAGATTTAGGCTTGAGAAAGCACATCTCAACACTGAAACATTTCCAGAATTAGTGCTTTTGAGTAGTAACATAGCTAACTTTTCCAGGTACTGAAGAGTTAAAACACAAAAGCTACTGAATTAGAGAAAAAAAACTTTAATGGGTGAGATGCTACTACTTAGATGATAAATAACTGCTCTACATTGATTCATTAGGACTGAAACCCTTCACACACACACACAACACACACACACACACACACACACACACGTTTCTGTTTACTAATAACGAATCCGTCTCTTTTACAGGTCAAATTCTAAAGTCTCGGAGTCAACTTGCTGATTAAGTCCCTGCCCTGTGTCCCTGTTTACAAAAATCCGTTGTTTCCCCAATGCTGTATTGTTTTTCTGGTGTGACATGCAAATTCCTTTCTTAGGAGACTTGCACCCCAATTCTCATCCCCACATAACCTCCTTCTCAGAACGGACTCACCCCCAATTCCTACAGTCCATGCAGTGTGACCCATATAACTGCCCCCTAAACTTTTAAATTTCGCCCACTGTTGTCTACTGCTCCTGCGTCCATTCCCACTTGAAGCAGCCTGGCAGATGTCTGCCCAATAAAGCTTTGAACCCATGTTGGTCACTGGCCTCTCATTTCTTACACAAATCACTGTGGAAAATCTTTTAATGACTCAGAAAACACATTTCATTTGTTTGTATGTATGTAAGATTCATGGAATGGAGATTGCCATGCAGTCATTCAGGCAGAAACTATTAGGGGTAACTGAACTGCTGGCCACATGAGGTGTGGCCAGTGACTTCAGTGAAGCGTGGGAAGGAGGTGCATCCACAGGGATGACCTCAGCCTGAGGGAAGGATCGTATGTGCCCAAGAGGCACATTTTCTGTAGTGAAAATGGGACCTACATTTTAACTGATTTCCTTATTCTACACTTACTGTACTGAGTTTCACTGAAGTGTTTTCATATATGCATATTAACGTAAAATTTGAGGCTTTTAAAATAGATATAAAATATTTTGTGGTCTTGTCGGGAAGTCAACCAATTGAACCTACCTTTTCAATTGTTTTTGAGCAACTATAGATTCTGCTTATCTTCTGTACCCTGAAATTTTGGAGCAAGAAATTTCATATTGGGCCAAGCCATCAGTGGCTCACATCTGTGATTTTAGCAATTTAGGAAGCTGAGATTGATAAGATCTTGATTTTAAGCTAGCTTGTGCAGCAGAGTCCACAAATCTCCTTGTTAAAGGAAGATGACCATGGTGGCATTTGCCTCACAAGTATTCTGGCTCTTACCTAACAAGTATTCTGCCTGAAATAGCCCAGGCCCATCAGAGGAAGAAGTGAAACCCTCAGAAATGTTTAGAGCTGGGCTACTATGGCTCACACCTGTAATCCTAGCTACTCAGGAGGCTGAGATCTAAGGATCTTCATTTAAAACCAGTTGAACAGACAAATCTTCAACTCTTTTTGTTGTTGGGCTTGAACTCTGGGCCTGGGCACTGTCCCTTAACTTTCTTCAGCTCAAGGCTAGCGCTCTACCACTTGAGCCACAGCACCACTTCCAGTTTTCTGGTGGTTAACTGGAGATGAGTCTCACAGGTTTTCCTGCCTGGGCTGGCTGTGAACCATGATCCTCATATCTCAGCTAGCTCTCCTGAGTAGCTAGCATTACAGGTATGAGCCACCTGTGTCTAGCTCTATTTAGCTTTCTTTATATCCCTGTTTTCTTGCTAAACAGCATGATTCTGAGGACAAATTTTACTTAAACTCCTTTTAAAATATGTATTTGGCTATTTTTTTTTTTTTTTGGTCGGTCGTGGGGCTTGAACTCTGGGCCTGGGCGCTGTCCCTCAGCTCTTCAGCTCAAGGCGAGCGCTCTACCACTTGAGCTACAGCGCCACTTCCGGTTTTCTGGTGGTTTATTGGAGATAGGAGTCTCACGGTCTCTCCTGCCCGGGCTGGCTTTGAACCGCGATCCTCAGATCTCAGCCTCCTGAGTAGCTAGGATTACAGGCGTGAGCCACCAGCACCCGGTGTATTTGGCTATTTTTAACCTACTGCTCCTGAATTTTTCCCAGAAAGCTATGAAACCAGATAAAGCCACCAGTACAGGATTGAGTTCAGTTGAACTCCTAGCCCGTTTAGCTAAGAAATGCACACACTTAGTATATACCTTTGATGTATGGGGTCTTAAGACAAAAGAGACAGACACAGTTGAATTTATTGAGAAAACTTAGTTTTAAAGATGTGAGCTTTACAGAGGCAGAATGCTTATCTAGCATGTGCTAGGATGTGAGTTCCATTCTTAGTAGTGGGGTGAAGAGAAAATGTACAAACACTTCTGAACAACTTAAAATTTGGAGGGGTATGGTGGCATACACCTCCAATCCTGGCTACCTGAAGATGAAGACAAGATTGTGAATTCAAGGGTAGCCTGGGCAAAGTGAGGGAGACTGACTACCTCAAAAACAGAACAGAGGGTTAGCTCAACTGACAGAATGTGCCGAACAATCATGAGGCCTTGGGTCCAATCACTAGCATTACAAAGGTAAAAAAAAATACAATTAGAAACTTTTATAGTTTCCCATGATTTATGCTTGACAATGTCTTTGATAAGCATATATATATGTATATGTGTCTATATATTTTATATATATATATAGACATACGTACATATATATATTTTTTAAAAACCAGGCCCATTTTCATCTCCTTCAGTCTGTGCACCAACCTCACCCAACACCCAGGTACTGCTTCAGAAATGCTCTGTAGCCAGCCAGGTGTTGATAGCTCAGGCCTATAATCCCAGTTACTAAGGAGGCTGAGATCTTTGGATCTCTTGATAAATATTTTATAAGAGGATGTAAATGTGAGGCAGTAGCGTTTTCATTCACAAGGCACTGTGTTCCAACTGATGCAACAGAAGGCTTAGCTGGGACCCAAGGCCAGCATTTCCTAATCTCTGTCAAAAAAAGGCACAGGAGCTGCCCATACAGGAAAGACTGTTCACAATAGTCCCTCATTAGCCTCACAATGTCTTGCTTGGATCACTTGCTGGGTCTTTTGACCTTGTTCTCTTCTGAAAAGATAACCAGCAACTGGGCATTATAACGGTATCTCCCCCTTGGTGGGTGTCAAGTCACCTGGTCAGTCCTCTTTCAAGGCCATCAAATTCAACTTCATTCCAACAGGAGGCCTCCTCACCCTCTTGCTGTAAGCACCTGAACTTAACAAAAGTCCCAAGGGCTAGTAGAAAATTTCAAGTTAAAAAGTCTTCTTTAATTTTCTTAAATAGTCCTATATATACCATTCCACATGGTGGAAAAATTGAAATATGCAGTCTGGATTCAATGCTGAAACTTCTGATTACAAATAATGACATCTAGATTTTACTTATGTTAGAGCTACCATATTGCACCTTACAGACTATAACACATGACGGAAAAGGCTTGCAGGTGAAAATTTACATTTGAAACTTTTAGATGTGCCAGAATTCAAAACTGCATTAAAGAGAGTATTTAGGAATTCATCTGAAAAGAGTTCATCATGATCCTGGGGTCACTGCAGCTGCACTCTGTATGCACCTATCAGCAACTTAACCTGGGGAAGGAAAAAGGCACGTCAGTACACAACTGCAAACTCTCCTCTCACAAAAACACGGCCAGCATTTGTCTTGAATGGAACAGTATTTTAAACCTGGTTATCAACTTTATTAAGTTATTGATATTTTCATAAAAAGTTCAAGTATAATGTGGTTTCATTAGAATATTAAAAATTATATATGATATCAGAGCAACTACTTTAACTAGCTTCCTTTCACATGGAATGGTTAGTGACAGCCTAGACAGACAGGGGCATTCAGTACCAATACCTAAAAAAAGACTCAGACTGTTCAACAGGGGGCTTCCTCCTCTCATTCACTCAGTCCACTCCCTCCCTCCACATGGTTTGCTTTGCGGCTCATATCTTAAAACTCATCAGTTCACCAGCATTACTGTCCTAAGGAGTACTGTCCCCACAACTGACATTTCTGAAGCCAAAGTAACCTGCTGGAATATTTTTCTAATGACAACATAATTGGTAGCAATGATATTCACCTTAGTAAAGGGTGCTTCTGTCAATCTTATAAAGAGCTTATTAGGACCTGCAATGGGGCTGAATGAGTAAACAAAATGACTATCCTGGAAAAGAGACAAGAAAATAAGGTTAGCTTTTTTCTGCTAAACTCAACATCTATGTAGTCTAGGTTGAGTGTGGAATTTGCTATGTATCTCAGGCTACAGACTTAAACTCCCAGTCCTCCTGCGTCAGGCTCCCAAGTGATGGCACTGCAGGCATGTACCACCATAACTGTCAATACACATGATATGTTTTCTTTTCCCTTGATTTATTAAAATGATAAAGAGAAAAATACCCAGACAAGTATTTCAAGTTAAAGTATATGTAGTTCATACCCAAGTACAAATTTTAAAAATGACTTTAGCCGGGTGCCGGTGGCTCACGCCTATAATCCTTGCTACTCAGAAGGCTGAGATCTGAGGATCACAATTCAAAGCCAGCTCGGGCTTAGAAAAGTCTGTGAGACTCTTATCTCCAATAAACCACTAGAAAACCAGAAGTGGCGCTGTGGCTCAAGAGGTAGAGCACTCACTTTGAGCTGAAGAGCACAGGGACAGTACCCAAGCCCAGAGTTCAAGCCCCATGACAAAAAAAAAAAAAGGACTGTACTCAAGTAATAATGCTTAGTTGTGCCCAAGGGAAGAATTCTAAAAGTGGTGAAAGAATTATGTATAAAAATTTGTGGAGGGGCTAGGAAGGTGGCTCAGTGGTAGAGTGCTTGCCTTGCATGCTTGAGGCCCTGGGTTCAATTCCTCAGCACCCATAAGCAAAAAAAAAAAAAAAAAAAGCCAGAAGTGGCACTGTGGCTCAAGTGGTAGAGCACTGGCCTTGAGCTGAAGAGCTGAGGGGCAGCGCCCAGGCCCAGAGTTCAGGCCCACGACCAGATCCCCCCCCCCAAAAAAAAAAAAAAATTTGTGGAAATGCAGTGGTCTTTAAAACCCAAATTTGATTAATACGCAAAAAAAACAAAACAAAACCCAAAACCACATAAGCACATATATCTTGAATTTTATAAATGTTAAGATTCCTTTATGGCCAGTCAGCACCAGATGTATTTTGATACAGAAGAGACTTAAGTTGCATTAAAAAAATGTGTTTCTGGGCTGGGAAGGTGGCTCAGTGGTAGAGTGCTTGCCTTGCATGCATGAGGCCCTGGGTTTGATTCCTCAGCACCACATAAGCAAAAAGAAAAAAGCCGGAAGTGGCGCTGTGGCTCAAGTGGTAGAGCACTAGACTTGAGCTGAAGAGCTGAGGGACAGCGCCCAGGCCCAGAGTTCAGGCCCCACGACTGGACCCACCCCCCCCAAAAAAAATGTGTTTCTTGTTGCTTTTAATTTTTCAGAAAGAAAAAAATGGTGGAGAGCATCTCTTTGTGATGTCAGAAATGAATACAGAATAAGCATAAATAGCCAGGCATGATGGATGCCTGTAAGCTCAACATGCAGTACGCTGAAACTCTCAAAAAGCAAAAGCTGGGTACTGGTGGCTCACGCCTATAATCCTAGCTACGGGTCACGGTTCAAAGCCAGCCCAGGAAAGGAGTCCATGAGATTCTTATCTTGAGTAAATCATCAGAAAACCGGAAATGGTGCTATGGCTCAAGTGGTAAAGGGCTAGCCTTGAGCTGAAGAGCTGAGGGACAGCGCCCACACCCAGTTCAAGCCCCATGACCAAAAAAAAAAAATGTTTAAGGTATAGCTCTATACTTGTTTTGTAAGTGTGAGGCCCTGAGTTTAAACCCGTTGCATACATATATACCAACAAACAAAAAACAAAATGAACAACATAAATACAAGCAGTGAAAATATTAGTTGCAGGACTGGAGACATGGCTCAACTGGTCGAGTGCCAGCTGAGCAAGCTAGTTCAGCAAGCATGACATGCCTGGCGATAAACACATTGACAAACTCAGAATAACTGTGCTCTGATTATAGGTACTATCTCACTGCCAACAACTGGACCACTTACTAGTAATCATATTTTATTTACACCTAACTGATCAAGTAGACTTTCATTCAAATTTTCAATTTTGAACAAATCTTACCAGAAAAACAGGAAGTTGAAATATATTATTTAAAACTACTGCTTGTACACTGCATGGGCCACAGAGCCGAGCAATAACTTCTTTACCCAAAAAATTCGCATGGAAAATAAAGAGCAGGATGCCAGAGCCTGAAGGAGGAAGAAAGGAAGTAGTTCACACACAGGCATTATCAGCCCCTGAGGGGAAGGGCACTTCTGAAGCCTGGGTCAGCCCATGGGAGAGCAAACTTACCACTTGTGCCCAACCTTCCAAAATCCGCTGATGTTACCTTGTAGTTTCTATCCCACAGAACTCAGTTATTTGTCCATGTAACTCCTACTAATTGCTCTTGGAAAGACTTAAACATGATTGTGTGGACTGAGGTAAATATTCAGTCAGAAAAGAGAGCATTATTTAAAAGTTGAAGCTAGCTGGGCATTAATGGCTCACACCTATAATCCTCACTCTTCAGGAGACTGAGATCTGAGAATTGCTGTTTGAAGCTAGCCCAGGTAGGAATCTGTGGAACTCTTAATTCCAATAAATTTCCAGAAAGTAGTGGAGGATTGGTTCAAATGACAGAGAACTATCCTTAAGTAAAAATCTCAGGGACACTCCCCCACGGTATAACCCCTGCTTTCACTGTATTTGATACAGGTGGACCCATTGCAACAATGAGATGTACAAGATGTTATGTCGAAAACAAACTTTACAACTTTGGCTGGAGGAGGGCGGGGGGGGGGGGGGGGGGGGGGTAATGGGGGAGGAGGTGGGAAGGGATGGGAAGGGGAAACAAAGGAGGAGGCAACAATGCTTGATAAGAAATGTACTCATTATCTTGCCCATGTAATTGTAACTCCTCTGTACGGTATTTTCACAATTAAAAAAAAAAGAAAAAACCCTCAGGGACAAGGCCCAGGCCTTAAGTTTAAACCCCAGGACTGGCACACACAAAAGTTGAAGCTAAAAGTATTCACTTATCTACATCCTGAGACTGAAGCCCACAGAAACATGAAGGTGGTATTATTACATGCGTGTATATGTGCTTTTCCATTTTCTGCCACATACTGGTTCGCATCTATTTTTTTTTCTTAGTACAAAAAGAAATCTTACTGAAAAATGTTAACATGCAATGTGATGCTATATCAAATATTTAAACTATTATTTTAATGTATTTTTATGCTAGTAGTAGGGGCTTAAACTCAAGGCCTTGTGCTCTCACTGGCCTTTTCTGCTTAAGGATGGCATGTTGCCATATGGCATGAGCTATAACCCCACTTCTGGCTTTTTGGTGGTTAATGGGAGATAAGTATCTCATGGACTTTGCTACCTGGGCTGGCTGTGAACCTTGATCCTCAGATCTCAACTTCTTTAGTATCGAGGATTACGAGTCATAAGACACCACTGCCCAGATCAAAATACCACTTAATTTAATACCCAAAAACTGCAAAAGCTAAACACTGGAAGATAACTTAGATCTAGTAAACTAAAAACTAACTTTTTTTTTTGGTTGTGGGGCTTGAACTCTGGGCCTGGAGACTGTCCCTCAGCTCTTCAGCTCAAGGCAAGTGCTCTACCACTTGAGCTACAGTGCCACTTGTGGTGTCCTGGTGATTAACTGGAGATAAGAGTCTCACGGACTTTCCTACCTAGGCTGGCTTTGAAATGTGATCGTCAGATTGCAGCCTCCAGAATAGTTAGGATTACAGGCGTGAGCCACTGGCACCCAGCTAAAAAACAATTTTAATGTGACAAAATGTCATTGATACAGGCCGTCATCAATAAGAGGACACTCTAGAAGAGACCCAAAAGAAAAGCATCCATGACCTTGACTCTTTCCCTTTCCCTTCCCCTCTCCCTTCAGGCTATTAGAAGTATAACACAGATTTTGCTTTTTGGCTTCATAATACAGCTCCCCTTGCCTAGAGCACCACTAAGAATATCAGGACCATGTTCACTCTCTTCAGCTCTTCTAAGTAGGAGGCAGCCATGGATGTAAGGCTGGAGGTCTGAGGACCTGGTTACTATCATGCAGGGAGAGACAGCCATGTGAATACTGGTGGCTTTTTCTTTTAGAGGGCAGACTATTAGTAGGCTTAGAATCTCGAAGGTATGTTTTAATAAAACTCAATAAAATCAGTATTATTAAGACTCAATTCCCCTACAATTTATACAGAGGGAATAGTACTTTGTGGCATCGCCTGGAATCCTGGGAATCGGTCTCTATTTTGTCAGAGTTACTGTGCTATTAATTATCTTACCTAATTTTTACACATTTGCTTAAGATTTTATTTAAAGACAGGCTTCTAATAATTAACATTCATAGCGTACACTTCAACAGAATCAGGCTAAGCATAGGTTTACCTTCTGGTATATTCTGTGGGGGATTGTAATTGAAATCTGTTGAGAAATCTGGCCCCTCACAGAGGCGATGACATGCTATTGGGAAAACAGGTTCCAACAGAGCAAGGCGAGCTTCAAAATAATCTTTGATTGTCTCTTCAGCCACTCTGGAGAGCCTGGTAAGAGAGGACAGAAGATCATTAAAATTAAAGTGCATGGGCTGGGAAGGTGGCTCAGTGGTAGAGCGCTTGCCTTGCATGCCTGAGGCCCTGGGTTCGATTCCTCAGCACCACATAAGCAAAAAGAAAAAAGCCAGAAGTGGCGCTGTGGCTCAAATGGTAGAGCACTAGCCTTGAGCTGAAGAGCTGAGGGACAGCGCCCAGGCCCAGAGTTCAGGCCCCACTACCGGACCCAAAAAAAATAAATAAATAAAATTAATGTGCATATATTAAAATGAATACAAGTATTATACCTTAATAGAAAGCTTTTTAAAACAACTTGAGGGAAATGCTAACTACCCTGATTTCATCATTAAACACAATTATACATACATCAAATTAATGTACTATTTCTCATTTATTTATATAATTTAAATTTTCAATGCACGAATGGAGAAAAAAAAGACATTATTTACAATACTGTCCAATGCTAGACCTGCCCTGTTCTGAAATAGAACTACAATTTTGCCTCACCCTAATTTTTTTGGGGGGGGGGCCGGTCATGGGGCTTGAACTCTGGGCTTGGGCTCTGTCCCTGCACTCTTCAGCTCAAGGCGAGCGCTCTACCGCTCACAGTTTTCGAGTGGTTTATTGGAGATAAGAGTCTCACGGACTTTCTTGCCCGGGCTAGCTTTGAACTGCGATCCTCAGAGCTCAGCCTGAGTAGCTAGGATTTCAGGCGTGAGCCACCAGCGCCTGCTACACCCTAATTTCTTGTGCCACATTAAGATGTCTTCTGTTTCACTAGCTCCTGTTTTTTTTGAGACAATGTATCTCCTTGACACAAAGGCCAATCTTGAACTTGGTTCTCTTAGTCTCCCACCTGCTGGGATCACAAGTCTTCTGCCCACTGGTGGTTAGAGCAGCATCTGGTGCAGGACTGTGCTTAATACAAATACATGTTTGTCTACTGAACCATAAGAAATGAGAATCCCCCGTCCTGGGCAAACAGGATGGCTAGCTGTTCCACTGGCTGGCTCTGTAGCTACCCCACGTGGGTAGAGAAGCGGCAGCCAGCTTCTCTGCACTACTTGGAAGGCTCCTGGCACAGGCTTTCAGGAGGGCAGACTAGGTATGTGCCATCCACGGAACACTTTCTACCTTCTGCTTCTGGATCTTCTACCTGCAACTGGAGTGACCATATTGCAGCTGTGCAAAATTAAAAGATAGAACACCAGGCTTCCCTGACACGGTGCTGCCTGCTCCGGTGCTGTTCTGCTTCTGATACTTCTCCCCCAGGCTCTCCAGGCTCGCTGTCCTCATCTTTCCAGAGCAGTCTTCTTTAGTTTTAGGCTGAATCTCTAGCCCAGAGCTCTGTCCTTAAGGAGCCCAGGACTTTGAGGCGCACGCATTCTTCTGATAGCCAGATGCCTGCCTCCTGCTGATACCTATGTTGTCTGCACTTCATAACTCAGACCGACCAGTGTGGTGGGAACAGGAGGCATGAAGAAGCACTTATCCCAGGACTCCCCCCCCCCCCCCGCCCCCAATCACACCTCACCTGCTCCAGTCAGCCATCACTGTAGTATTTCTGACAGGCATTGCCAGAATTTATTCTCATGTGGGAGTGAGGACGGGACCTCAAGGCTCATATCCACGCCTCAACTCTACCACCGAGCTAGAGACTGACAATCCTTTTCTGCGTAGGCTCGCACAGGTCATTCTAATTATAATATGCCCAAAGGAACAGAGATGTCATGCTTTGACAACCTAGGCAATCACTTTTTGCACTTACGTCTCCAAATGGCTCTTCAGCAATTCGTACACAAGCATGTTGTTACACTGCTTTGCAAAGTAAAGCGCATTGTTTTGGTGCTTTGACAAAATGTTGCAGTCGGCTCCCCATTCAATCACAAGCCGCACAATGTCCGAATTTCCTTTTTTACAAGCCTAGGGCAGAAAAATCATTATACTCTTAACTGTAAACTACAAAGTACCCATTGCCATCTGCTTCCTCTTCCACATTTGCCTGGGAAGAAGGCAAAGTATGATGGAGAAATGGCAAGAGACCCTACCCTGTGGCCAGGGTTCACAGGGGCTAGCAGCTGTGCAGAATTAAAAGAACACCAGGCTTCCCTGACACGATGCTCACTGCTCTGGTGCTTTTCTGCTTCTGATACTTCTCCCCCAGGCTCTCCAGGCTCGCTGTCCTCATCTTTCCAGAGCAGTCTTCTTTAGCTTTAGGCTGAATCTCTAGCCCAGAGCTCTGTCCTTAAGGAGCCCAGGACTTTGAGGCGCACTCTGCCTCCTGCTGGTACCTGTGTTCTCTGCACCTCATAACTCAGGCCGACCAGGCAACACTGCTGTTCTCATGTTCTGTGAATCCTATGTCCTCAAAGGTTGGTGACCTTCTCATTTTTGTCCCTCTATACCACTTGAGTACAAATTACTACTACATCATATACTTTCAGGGCTCTCCTTACAAGTCTGCAAATTTCCTGTCTTTTACTCAATCCATGCTTCCTACTTCGGCAAAAAGCAGTAAGTGATCTCTTTAAATCTGGATCTCTGTCTTGCACTTTCATCTTCCAGTGGCTCCCAACTGTCCTCAGTCTCCTCTCAGCCCTGTAGCAAGGTGTAGGAAGTGCCTACGCCCCAACCCTCCCACATTTTCTCCTCTAACTGCTGTCCAGATGCATGCAGTGACCACTGCGTCTCCCTCGAAGACAGTGGGCAGAGATGAACACCAGCGCTCTGCATGTAAGTCAGTAATAGATACTAAAGCAATACTAAAAAATACCTAAAGACCTAACCAATTGAACAATTTCGCAAACTACAAATAGTGGGGGAAACCCCAAAACTACAAAGCAGGTAAGTTCTACATTGTAAGTGTGGCCAGAGGCCAGAAAAACCCTGCTGAGAAGAGTAGGATTCAAAACAAAACAGTGCTGGGCCTGCTGCACAGTTCCGGGCCACACTGCTCACACCAGATATAGCCTGGAACAAGGAGCTGGAGACAGATCCCTGTGTGGACCATGGTTTATGTGAAGCTGTATCTTAGAGAGGGACCTTCTATGTCCCAGCAGCACTTCAGGGCCAGGAAGTTGGAATTGCCACAAAGGAATATGCCACAGTGGGCTGCCCTGCAGTACAAGGAACGCTCAGTGTGCTTGGGTGCAAGTAGCAAGAGGCTTCACTAACCTTCACCATGAAACATTTGCAAGCCACAGTGCCACACAAGACATACTCACCAATACAAAACAGTGATGACTGTAGGAAAGACGCCATGCTTTCCTACTCTCAGGCCTGGGCAGCCATGAGCACTGATATACAGCTCCTCCTTCATGGACGCAGCCAGATTGGCTGTAACTCCCACTGGACAAACTCATAAAGGCAGTGAGCTGAGTGTGGTGCTGGGCACTGACACCTATTTCTTTTTTTTTTTTTTGGGTTGTGGGGCCAGAACTCTGGGCCTGGATGCTGTCCCTCAGCTCTTCAGCTCAAGGCTAGCGCTCTACTACTTGTAGCGCCACTTCCAGGTTTTTCTGCTTATGTGGTGCTGAGGAATTGAACTCAGGGCCTTATGCATGCAAGGCAAGCACTCTGCCACTGAGCCACCTTCCCAGTCCCTGACACCTGTTTCTTAACTGCCACTGAACATGTCAGCAGGCCAATAGCTTTTGAGAAAGGTCAAAGACAGGTTGTCTTGGCTGACTTTTTATTTTATTGCCGGGCCTGGAGCTTGAACTCAGGGTCTGGGTGCTATCTCTGAGAGTTTTTGCTCAAGGCTAGTACTCTACCATTTAAGCCACAGCTCCACTTCTGGCTTTATGGTAGTTACTTGTAGATAAGAATATCAATGACTTTCCTACCAAGGTGGTTTTGAACTGCTATCCTCAGATCTCAGCTTCCTGAGCAGGTAGGATTACAGGTGTGAGCCACCAGCACCAGATGCCTTGAGTCACTTTTATCTGCTCAGTTTATAAACTCTTCCTCCTCTTGCCTTGGAATTTGGGGATCTACCTTTCTTGTTAGCATTTAAGACATGCTTCTGTCCTTAAGTCCCCAGTAAGTTGCAATCTGTACAATCTGAATTTGTCTGCCTCTTTTCTTCAACACCTTCCACTTCTGGCAAGAGAGTTGGTACATACTGAGACTATAGTTTTCCCCCTAAAAATGCAATTCTTTCTTGACACTGTCCTGCTAGCATGACTGTTGTTTTTTTTTTTTTTTCTGGGCCTTGGCACTGTCCCTCAGCTCTTCAGCTCAAGGCTAGCACTCTACCACAGAGCCACAGCACCACTTCTGGCTTTTTCTGCTTATGTGGTGCTGAGGAATTAAACCCAGGGCCTCATGCATGCAAGGCAAGCACTCTACCACTGAGCCACCCTCCAAGCCCTAGTATGACTGTTGTTTTAGGACACAGGTTGGTACCTGCTATATCCCATCCCAAGTCTTGCAATAGGTTCATAAGGCGGAGCTCAGGGGCACATCCCTGTGGCACTGACATACACTAACTGATGTTCTGCTGGTCTACCTTGACCCACCCATGAGCAGTGGACTCTGACAACTGGCTTTCCTCAGGAAATCCCAGGGTCCGATATTAGTAGGCACCAACTGAAACAGCTGCTGAGACTAAAGAACTTACCTTCATAAGTGCGGTCTCGCCATTGCTCTGCTGAACATTTACAAAGGCTCCCGCTTCCAAAAGAATAGCCACAGTGGTTAAAAAGTTCTATTTACAAAAGGAAAATAGGAAATTTTTAGAATTCTTTTTTTTGTCGGTCATGGGGCCTGAACTCTGGGCCTGGGCGCTGTCCCTCAGCTCTTCAGCTTCAGGCTAGCACTCTACCACCTGAGGCACAGCGCCACTTCCAGCCTTTTCTGCTTATGTGGTGCTGCAGAATGGAACCCAGGGCCTCATGCATGCAAGGCAAGCACTCTACCACTGAGCCACCTTCCCGGCCCTTAGAATTCTTTAAGGCATCTTTTTTGAAATGTCATTAGGAAAAAGACTCAGCAGATAATACCCCAAATGGGTGATGGGCCACCATGTTACTGTTTCTTCAATGGAGGGTTGTTGGAAGCCCACGTGCTAAGCCAAGCTCTCTGGTCACTGGCCATGCAGCCACATGCTACTCTACCCAGCATTGGCCACCTAAACCTATAAAGAGTACTCAGGGCCTGGTGTTCGTACTTGGCCTTTTTTGCTCAAGGCTGGTACTCTACCACTTGAGCCATACCTCTACTTCTTCAGCATGGCTTTTTGCTAGTTAATTGGAGATAAGAGTGTCTCAGACTTTCCTGCCCAGGTTGTCTTCAAACCTTGATCCTCTTATCTCTCAGTCTCCTGAGTAGCAGGGATTACAGGTGTGAGCCACCAGTCCCCAGCTCAAAAGAAATTCTTAATTTCAGTTGTAAAAGTTTCAAATTGCCTGTCGCCTAAGACTGAAAGCAATATTGATACATTGAAGATATATAAATTATTCCCAACTAGGTAAGTCACATTTTGAAATTATGATTACAAAATATTTCTGATAAGAAAATCCATTCATGTGAAACATAAAAGTGCAAAGTTATATGAGCACATGACCATTACGGTTTACTACTGAAACAAATCCTGAATGTCCTGATACAGTGGCGTCTTGGACCTTTTCGGCGGCGTGGATGAGGGCTGTGGTGCCATTCTTCTGCTGTCCGTTCACTTTGGCCCCTTTAGTGATGAGGAGCCTCAGAAGGTCATCCTGCCCTCCTGCTGCAGCAAGCATCACCAGTGTCATCCCACTGGAATCCTGTGCCAGTTTATTAACAAAGAAGCTGGTTAGAAACAAGTCTCTTTAGACAGAACTGACTTAAGCATCTACTAAGAAAACATCCTAATAAACAGAAGGGCACCAGTGGCTCACGCCTATAATCCTAGCTACTCAGGAAGCTAAGATCTGTGGACCAAGGTTAGGAGTCAGCCCAGGGAGACAAATCTATGAGACTATCTCCAATAACCAGAAAAAAAGGAGGGAGGGAGAGAGAGAGAGAGAGAGAGAGAGAAAGGAAAAGAAAAAGCTGGAAATGGAGATATGTCTCAAATGGTAATAATCAAGACAAGAGCAGGAAGCCAAGTTCAAGGCCCAGTGTATAAATTACACATGCATGTGCGCGCGCACGCATGCACACACACACACACACACACACACACACACACACACACACATACACAGAAACTAACATCATTTAATACTTTTTTTCTCACGAACATTTTCATAAAAATTTACAAATTTCGTATCTTAAATTCTAATAATGAGGCCAGATGGGGCAGGAAAACTCACTAGAGTCCATCCCTAAAATAACCAGTAAAAAAGCAGGCTGGAGAGTGGCAAAAAACCAGCCTAGCAGGCATTAGGCACTGAGTCAGAATCCTAGTACCATCAAAACAAAAAACCCAAAACCACATCAAGTGAACAGTGAATTCTTTTGGAGCAGATGATCAAATCTTCTAACTAAAGTGAGCTGAGAAGAACTGCCTTAAGCGATGGAAAACCAGCCCAATGTGGCCCCGCCCCTGTGCGCACGCGCACACACGCGCGTGCACACACACACACACACACACACACACACCAACTTCACCTTCTATTACTAACAACCAGTTAGAAAACAAATACGAGTGATAAATTACTATGAAACATATAGGAATATATCTAAAAGAAATGTGTAAGTCCTACATGAACAAAAAATGCACAGAACTTGTCTTATGTATATAAACCAGGAATTAAATACACAAAGTTATTGAGCTTATGATGGAAGACTCAATACTGTCAAATTTCAGCCAACTTAATATATTTTATGCAATTTAAACCAAAATCAGATGCATAATTTCAATCTTAAAACATAGAATTAAAACAAGCAACTGAGAAAATAATTTTTTTTTATTTTTAGTGCTAATACTGGGGCTTGAATTCAGAGCCTGGGAACTGTCCCTTAGTTTTTTTCTCTCTCAAGGCTGGTACTCTACCATTTGAGACACAGCTACAACTCTGGCTTTTTGCTGATTAATTACAGGAAAGAGTCATTTGGATTTTCCTACCTAGGTTGGTTTTGAACTATGATCCTCAGATCTCAGTGTCCTGAATAGTTAAAAGTGTGTCCAGACACTGGTGGCTCATGCCTAAAATCCTAGCTACTAAGGAGGCTGAGATCTGAAGATCACAGGTCAAAGCCAGCCAGGGCCATGAGACTCTTACCTCCAATAAACCACCAGAAAACCGTGGTAGAGCACTCGCCTTGAGCTAAAGAGCTGAGGGACTGAGGGACAGAGCCCAGGCCCAGAGTTCAAGCCCCACGACTGACCAAAAAAAAGAAAAAAAAGAAAAATGAATAAATTAACAGATGTTAAAATATTTATTTACTTTTACTTAAAAGTAAAAATCCTCAAAGCAATATAAACTCAAAATACAAAACTTGAAAACTAGGAAAGTTACTATTTCCATTAAAAAGAAAAACAACATAAAAAAAAAAAGAATGTCACTAAGGAATCCCCCCCCCCCCCCCGCCCCCCGCAATAACAGGAAGCCAGGCTACTGGTATATATACATGGACCAACACCAAAGGTACAATTTCCTCCTCAAAATGAGAGTCCTTTTACACTCCTCACTGTTCAGAGTAAGATACAAATTCAGACTGGTCAAAACTAAACTATGAGGTCAAAAAAGGGTGACACAAAAATGGAAAAAAGATGAACAAATACAGTCATGGTATTCAATATATGCTATGTAAAAATTGGGCTGGGAAGGTGGCTCAGTGGTAGAGTGCTTGCCTTGCATGCATGAGGCCCCGAGTTCGATTCCTCAGCACCACATAAGCAGAAAAAAAAGCTGGAAGTGGTGCTGTGGCTCAATGGTAGAGTGCTAGCCTTGAGCTAAGGAGCTAAGGGACAGCGCCCAGGCCCAGAGTTCAGGCCCCACAACTGACAAAAAAGAAATTGAAGTATGTGGCCAGGCACCAGTGGATCATGCCTGTAAACCTAGCTATTCAGGATATCTGAGGATCAAGGTTCAAAGCCAGCCCAGGCAGGAAAATCTGTGAGACCTTTATCTCCAATAAACCACTCAGAAAACAGGAAGTGGTGCTGTGGCTCAAGTGGTAGAATGCTAGCCTTGAGCTGAAGAGCTGAGGGACAGCGCCCAGGCCAGAGTTCAAACCCCACCACTGACCAAAAAAAAAAAAAAAAGTATGCAACGTGAGGGCAAGACAAGAGGAGAAAACTGGGGTAAGGGAGGGAAGAAGTGACTTTTGTCCAAGAATTATACTTATTACCTGATTTATGAAACTGTAACACCTTAATAACAACAATAAAATTATATTTAAAAACCCACATGGTCAATCTAAGGAGGTAGGAATTATAGGGGTTGTAAAGCTCTACAATGTATAAGTTTTACATAGCGAATATGCATGTGTTTTAAGTAATGACAAGTATCGGCAGGACTCAGGTGGTAAGAGTTCTTGCCCTGCAAACATGAGGCAGAGTAGAATCCCTAAAATTCGCCCCCCCCCCCCAAAAAAAAGAAGACATTTTATTAAATCATGTCAAGCATTTCATAGTCTCTTAATGAGATACTTCAAAGGCACATTACCTCTTGGTCCAAATCATAATCTTCATCTGAGTTGAGTGCAACCTTTACAGTAATATAATCCCCATTTTTCACAGCATCCCTCAACAAATCTAAAAGGAAAGGAAAAAGTGATTGGGCTTTATATATCTAGATTGGTGAAACTAAAATGATTAATTCCAAAACCACTCACTATTTGGAATTACATTCACTGTGGTAAAAGTCTCATCTTCCCCATCAAGGTGCTTTTGAAAATCTTCTAGTTTCATCCACTCCAGCTGCAGATCCATGCCCAAACTTAAGATCTGGTGCCTACCATCTGGTGAAAAAAAGGGCCTTATTAACACACTTTCATATGGTCTATTGGCAAAACCAATATGCTGCTTATAAACTTATACCTTGGGCTGTAGTGGGGTTTGAACTCAGAGCTTCACACTTGCTATGCAGGCACTGCACTTGAACCATTGCCTACCAGTCCCTTCTAGTATTGGGTTATCTTCAAGATAGGATCTTACTCTATGCTTAGACTAGCACTGACTGTGATCCTCTATCTAGAGTGCTTCCCTTTGCTGTTTGGATGACAGACATATCACTGTGCCCAGTCACCGTGAATCCCCTTGTAACTTGGAATAACAGGAACATACCAACATGTGTCTCCCACAGCTTGAGATGAACAGGTATATGCTACCAGCCATGGATCAAGTGGAATCTCATGGACTTTCCTGCCTGGGCTGCTTCAAACGGTGATCCAAAGATCTTAGCCTCTTGACTTAGCTAAGATTACAGGTGTGAGCCACTGGTGCCTAGCTTTAACAGAAATTTCATGTACATTTAACACACACTATTACATAACTCTTTTTTTGGGGGGGAGGTAGCACTAGGGCATGGACTAAAGGGTCAAGACTGTTACTCTACCACTTCAGCCTTACCTCTACTTCTGGCCTTTTGCTGGTTAACTGGAGCTAAGTCTTTTGTGCCCAGGCTGGCTTTGAACTGTAGTATTATGATCTCAGCCTAATCTTTAGTAAGCACGTGTGTGTGTGTGTGTGTGTGTGTGTGTGTGTGTGTGTGTGTGTGTGTGTGTGTGTGTGTTGGTTCTAGGCTTGTAACTCAGGGACTGGGCACTGTCTCTGAGCTTTTGTGCTCAAGATTAGTGTGCTACCATTTTGAGCAACAGCTCCATTCCCACATCTCCATTTTGTTAGTTAACTGAAGAGTCTCAGGGACCTTGCTTTCTGAGCTGGCTTTGAACCATGACCCTCAAATCTTAGCCTCCTGAGTAGTTACGATTACAGGCGTCAGCCACTGGTGTCCAGCAAGCGCAGACTCTAAGTGTTCACTAGCTGAATGGTTACTGCGTATAATCAGATGGACTCTGTCCTGGAATTATGGCTTAACCTTATTGTTTAAGAGTAATGTCTACCTTATGCATTATTACAAGTACACTTTGTGTAATCACAAAGTTACTGGCAGTCAGCATTAATAGTCTATTCACTCAGTCATGTACTTTCTCAGTTGTATATAAATTATGTTTCCAAAATCACTTTCATTTAAACTTGAATTCATTTCATCTATATGTTATTATATAAAATGAAAACAAAAATCATTTGATAGTCAGCCTTGGATTTCCACTTAAAACGAATTTCACAAACTATGTTCTTTTTTTTTGTTGTTGTCGGTCGTGGGGCTTGAACTCTGGGCCTGGGCGCTGTCCATCAGCTCTTCAGCTCAAGGCAAGCACTCTACCACTTGAGCTACAGCACCATTTCTAAAGCTACGTTCTTATAGATAGGGATATCACAGAACTATAGAAATAAAACTGTGTAAGAAATATGCAAGTAAGAGAAAGAGCTTTGTCCTACAGCCTCAACACAAACTAACAATTCCCTTCCTTCACTAACTCCAAGAGCACAGAATTATGGGAATTAACACGATGTTGGCTTTCTATGCCCTGGCTGTGTCCCAGCTGCTTATGAGCTCACTGTGCCACATAATTCTCAGCAGCAGCAGCAGTGGTAGTAAAAGCAGCTAACATACATCCACACAACATGATGCACAAACATTCTACAAATGATGTTATAGATGAGGAGACAGGCTAAGAGTGGCTCTGAGGTTTGTCAGGAAGTATCAGACTTGGTTTTAGCACTGATCCTGTCTCAGTCAACAGCAGAAGCCCCTACTTCCCACTCCAACCATAAGAGACAAAAATGACTGCTCAAGGAAAGATAGTGGGATAGAGTAGCTGAGAGTCCAAGGAAAATGAGGTAAAGGCAATACCCTACTTTAGAGAAATATTTAAGTAGCAGAAAGAACTGAGCCAAATCAGAAGTGGCAGACCTGCAGATTTCTATGGTAGCTCAGATTTTGGTCTGATTCTATGCTCATTCCTATCATGTTAACTGCCTCCTCTGCACAAGGCAGTTTTGTTTTTTAAATAAAAAAATGAGTGCCGGGCGCCGTGGCTTACACCTGTAATCCTAGCTACTCAGGAGGCTGAGATCTAAGGATCGTGGTTCAAAGCCAGCCCAGGCAGGAAAGACTGTGAGACTCCTATCTCCAATAAACCACTAGAAAACCAGAAGTGGTGCTGTAGCTGAAGTGGTAGAGCGCTTGCCTTGAGCTGAAGAGCTGAGGGACAGCGCCCAGGCCCAAAGTTCAAACCCCATGACTGACAAAAAATTAAAAATAAATAAATAAATAATAAAAAATGAGCTAGATGTCAAAGGATGACTGTATGTTATGAAGTAAAACAAGTACAGGCCTGTATGATCGCCCAGTCTTAAGTTTCAGACGCCTGTAACTTCAACACTACTGCCTCCTTTATGGTATATTTACATCCAGCCTATGTTGGACGTTGTTCATGCTTTAATAGTTTTACCACTAGTAATGTATCAAACTGGAGGAGTGGATTTAGAAGAAAATTAGACACAACTAAGAAATCCCAGTTAGTGTGTAAGGCACTGAGGTCAAATCCCAGTATTGATGTTAAAAAAAAAAAAAAAAAAACACAAATAAGCCAGGAGCTGGTGGCTCACACCTGTAATCCTAGCTACTCGGGAGGCTGAGAGCTGAGGATCATGGTTCAAAGCCAACTTTCCAGGCAGGAAAGTTCATGAGACTCATCTCTAATAAGCTACTCAGAAAATCAGAAGTAGCACTGTGGCTCAAGTGGTAGAGTGCTAGCCTTGAGCTGAAGAGCTGAGGAACAGCACCCAGGCCTGAGCTCAAGTCCCATGACTGACCAAAAACAAAAATTACAGAAAGTTCTTTAAATACTTTGGCTATTAATCCTTTCCATCCAGTAGCTTTGGTTAACATGCCATGCTTTGTAGCAACTTTATCCTTTAATTTCATGGTGCACATGCATGTGGTGTGCATGTGTACATGCATTAGGGCTTATACTTAGGGCTTCAATCTCTGGCTGGGCTTTTTTACTCAAGGCTCGCACTCTACCACTTGAACCATGCCTCTACTTCTGGCCTTTTGCTAATCAGATCTAACTCTCTTGGATTTGTCTGCCTTGGCTAGATTCTAGTTGCTATCCTTGGATTCCTGGTGTTTTTCTGTCTTGAGAAATCTTTCCCTATCCCAAAGTCATAAAGATCCTCTAAATCCTAATATCCAAATGCCTAATATCTAATTCTCTAGTCCTAATTCTCTCATCCTAATATCTAGCAATCTTCTAACTGCCTAATTTCCAAATACTCCCTGTGCAGTTGAGGCCTCATTCCGCCAGGATCTGATTTCCATACGCCAGGTGCTATCTGTGTAGATAACCAACTACCTTGAAACAGTGAGTCTCTTTCCTGCCCATCACCCACCTGCCACAGCCGTCACGTGCACTGCAGCACTAGTCAGTCTCCCTTCCTAGTGCCAAGCAAATACCAGATACTCCATCATCAACGGTTCCAGTTTTAGAAAAGGGGTTTGATTATTATTGCAGTAATTGGGTTTGCTTTTCTTGAGTCTTCCACATGATTCTAGAATTAGTAATTGTAAATTCCACTAACACCTTTTTAAAATTTTTTTGCAGTATGGAACTCAGGGATTTTCACGTACAATGCATACATGGAGTTTAATGACTTTCAAAATGGAATTTTCTCTATACAGATTGTATTATCTTTCACTAGTAATATTCTTGACAATCTTTTAAACGTGTCCCCCCTCCTCATCATGGGGCTTGAACGTGGGGCTGGTGCTGTCTCTTGAGTTCTTCTGCTCAAGACTAGCATTCTACCATTTGAGCCACAGAACCACTTCCGGTTTTCTGGTGGTTAATTGGAGGTAGGAGTCTCAGGTCCTTCCTTGCCTGTTCTGGCTTTGAACCATGACCCTCAAATCTCAGACTCCTGAGTAGCTAGGATTACAGGCATGAGCAACCGGTGCCAGGCCAATGTTTTCATTTTTGAATGGTGGTCCTGGGGCTTGAACTAGGGGCCTGAAGCCTGTCCCTAAGCTTTCTCAGGGACAGGTTGGCACTCTACCCCTTGAGCCACAGATCCATTTCTGGCTTTTTGGTTGTAAATTGGAGGTGAGAGCCCAGGCTGGCTTAAAACCACAATCATCAGATCTCAGCCTCCTGAGTAGCTAGGATTACATTGCCGATATACAGAAAGTACTAATTTTTTCATGTTGACCTTATATCTAGTCACTTTGCTGTAATTGCAGTAGTTCTAATAATTTCTAGATTCTTTAGGGTTTTCTACAAACAATAACAACTGATTATGACAGATTTTAAAAAATTATTTCTGGGGGCTGGAAAGGTGGATTGCTTGCCTAGCATGCATGAGGCCATAGGTTCGATTCCTCAGGACCACATAAACAAAAAAGCCGAAAGTGGTGCTGTGGCTCAAGTGGTAGAGTGCTAGCCTTGAGCTGAAAAGCTGAGGCCCAGCGCCCAGGCCCAGAGTTCAAGCCCCACGACTGACAAACAACAACAAAAATCATTTCTGCAGTACCAGTGACCTAACACATTCTTTTGTACATGCTTGGCAAATACTTGATGACAGCAGTTTTTGCCCATCCTCTCCAATGCTTAAGCTTCTCAGATTTTGTCCTTGCATTCCATGCTTAGCCTCTCGGTGTTATTGTGTCAGTATCCCTCATTAAAATGTTGAAAGACAATGGTGACAGTTTCTATGTGCTGGTGCTAATTTAAGACACAGATTTCTAGTGTTTCACAATTAAAAGATTTATCAACAGTGTAATTTTCCTTATTGAGAAAACTACCTTTTTTCAGTTAGCTATTTTTTTTTCTTAATTCACAAGTGCTGTTAAAGGTGGACACCACAATAACAAAAAACAGCATGGTATTGGCACAAAAACAAACCCAAATGGAACAACAAAAAAAAAACCTCTACCAAAATAAAACCACACAGCCAGAGCCATCTGATCCTTGTCAAAGAAGGAAAAAAACATATATTGGAGAAAACAGCTTCTTAAATAAATGGTGATGAGAAAACTGGTTATCCCAGAAGACTGAAACTAGACCTAAAATTCTCACTCTATAAAACATCAACTCCAAATGGATCAAAGATTCTAAGACCTGAAACCTTAAATTTACTACAGGAAAAGAGGGAAAACCTGAAAATCATAGCACAATTAATTATTTTCTGAATAGGATTCCAAGGGTCGAGCATGTAAGAGGAAGAACAAAAGGGATTGCATCAAATTGAAAGGCACATCCATCAATCACCAGAATGCCCCCACAGAATAGGAGAATATCTCTGCCAACTATTCAATGGACAAAGAACTAAGATTCAGAACACACAAAAAGCTAAAAACAAAACAAAAACTAAAGAACAAATAACCCAATTAGTTAAGAAGAAACACAAATGGCTACTAGATATATGAAGAATTACTCAACAATCTTTAGCCATAAATGAAATGTAAATCAAAACTACACCAATGCTGGGCAACAGTGTTCATGTCTGTAATTCTAGCTACTCAGGAAGCTAAGAACTGAGGATCGTGGTTCAAAGCCAGCCTGGACAAGAAAGTCCCTGAGACTCCAATTAACTGCCAGAAAACCAGAAGTGGTGCTGTAGCTCAAGTGTTAGATCACGTGCAGCTCAGGGATAGTGCCCAGACTCAGTGTTCAAGCCCAAAGACCAACTGGAAAAAAAAAAAAACTACATCAAGATTTCATCTCATTCCATTCAGAATGAGAATCAAGTAAATAAAGTAGTCACTGGTAGCTGACATCTAATTCTAACTACTCAAGAGGCTGAGATCTGAGGACCAGGATGCAAAGCCAGCCCCAGTAGTAAAGTCCATGAGACTTTTATCTCCAATTAAGAACCAAAAAATGCCTGGCATAGTGATACAGCACTAGCCATAAGCAAAAAAGCCAAACTTCCTGTGTTCTAATTTTGCTAGATAAAGCCAATTGATTTTTTGTTTGTGCTTATATGGCTTGAACTCAGGGCCTCATGTTCTTAGCTTGGTTTTATTCCACTTAAGGCTGGCACTCTAGCAACTGAGCTACACCTGCACTTCTGGATTTTTGCCAGTTAGAGATAAGTCTCAGACTTTCTGCCTTGACCGGCTTTGAACCCAAATCCTCGTTTCCTGAGTAGCTAAGATTACTAGTATGAGCCACCAGTACCTGGCTTTTTTTGGCTTTATTTTTATTTATTTTTTTTGTTTTTGGTTTTATTTTTAAAATAAGATGATCTAATTTGCTCATGCTTAGTTTCAATTTTTCACATTTAATTCATCATTCAGTCTGCATTCATTTTCTTTCCTTACATAGTTTTGGTAATAAAAAGTTACTATGGTCCCACAAAATGATTTAATGTGTATTTTTAGGAAGATTTTTTTTCCCTCCAGAGAGAAGTCCGCACTATGTAGCCCAGGCTGAAATAGCATAACTATGTAACCCAACCTTAGGCTTCCAAATGCTGGGATTACAGACATTTGCTACCACTAGGCTTTTGCTCAGTTTGGTAGATTTACAATATAAAACCATTTGGGCTTGGTGTCACATCTATGAAGCTTATTCATGAAGTTATATTTGGTCATGAACAGTTACGTGGTCAATTTTTCTTAGTCTAGTTTTGTTCATTTTTGCAGGAACCTCACCATGTCATTCTGTTTTCAAATACATTCGTAAGAAATTGTTCATAGAATCCTTTTATCTTTTTAATGTTTATACAATCTGCAATTTTGTCTTTTTAGCCTTGGTTTTTTCCCCCTCTACCATGGTCAGATGATCTATTTTCCTTACAGCACCAGTCTTTATTTCATACTCTTACATGCTCGTTTTTTTTTTTGCCAGTACTAGGGTTTGAATTCAGGGTCTGGGGGCTATTCCTTAGCTTTTCTGATCATGGCTGGCATTCTACTACTTGAGTCAAAGCTCTTGGTGGTTAATTGGAGGTAAGGGTCTCAGGCTCTCTTTTCTGGACTGACTTCAAACCATGATCCTCAGATCTCAGCCTCAGCCTTTCTGTCTTTGGCAGCTGGCTTTTACATCTTTTTTTTTTTTTTTTTAAATCACTAACTGCTTGGTAATTTAACTTCAGTGCTGGTCTTTGACATATGCCCAGAGGGAAAAGTCCTCTTCCTTTCCCATTAGTCCTGGAAATTATCCCAATTTCTTGCATGTAAGCTCAGCAGTACATTGAACGTATACTTTGAGCCTCAGAAATCTATACAGGGTCCTCCTCAGCCCCAGGATAGCATTAATAGAACCTTATTTGTATTTGTTATTACTGCCAAGTTAAAAGGGAAGAAGAATTAAGTCTTTATGTGACTTTTTTTGTTGTTGTTGGTTATGGGGTTTAAACTCTGGGTCTGGCTGCTGTTCTTGAGCGCTTGCTCAATGGAAGCGTGCAAGTGCTCTACCACTTGAGCAACAGCGCCACTTCCCGTTTTCTTGTGGTTAATTAGAGATCAGAGTCTCATGGACTTTTCTGCACAGGCTGGCTTTGAACTGCAATCCTCAGATCTCAGCCTCTTGAGTAGCTAGGATTACAGACATGAGCCACCGGTGCCCCAGCTATGTGACTATTTTTTAATGTGACTTTCCTAAAAGAAATCTAAGCCCAGCTGGGTGCCGGTGGCTCACGCCTGTAATCCTAGCTACTCAGGAGGCTGAGATCTGAGGATCGCGGTTCAAAGCCAGCCTGGGCAGGAGAGACCGTGAGACTCCTATCTCCAATAAACCACCAGAAAACCGGAAGTGGCGCTGTAGCTCAAGTGGTATAGTGCTAGCCTTGAGCTGAAGAGCTGAGGGACAGCGCCCAGGCCCAGAGTTCAAGCCCCACGACCGACAAAAAAAAAAAAAAAAAGAAATCTAAGCCCAGTGCCAGTGGCTCAAGTCTGTGATCCTAGCTACTCAGGAGGCTGAGATCTGAGGATCATGGTTCAAAGCCAGCCTGTGCAGAAAAGACTGATCTCTAATAATAACCACCTGAAAACCGAAAGTGGCTCTGTGGCTCAAGTGGTAGAGTGCTCAGCTTGAGCTGAAGAGCTGAGGGACAGCACCCAGGCTCAGAGTTCAAGCCCCACAACTGGAGGAAAAAAAAAAGAAAAAAACAAATCTAAATATATATCATCAGTATAGAAAATCAGACTATAATTTCCAAATGTACAGATAAACACATTTCAGGAAATTAGAAATTATTTCATGCAACCACAGGTCCAAGCATGACTCAAGACTTTAATATAAAAAGTTATTTATTTAGGTGATACAAATAAATTTTTGTAACTTTCTGATCTGAGATCAGCATTACATAGTATGAAAGAAGAGTAATAATATAATGTGTACTATCTTGAAATCATTCTGTCAAACCATGCCAAACTCACCTGAATTCTCATCCATTTGGCATACACTGTCCAAAACTTCCTGATCACCTTCTGCAGCAATGTATGCCCAAGTGTCAGTTTCATCTCTGGTATTTTTCTTTTCGTTAGGTGAATACTTGCCTTCCTTCATTTTACAATCTTCTGTGGTTTTACAATCCAGTGACACTTCTTTTTTCTGATTAATTTCAGGCACATCATTTTTTTCTTCTGTAGTTTTTTTAAGTAAATCAAATGCACTTTTGATTTCCTTAATTGCTAGTGCTAAAATTGTAAGTAATATACAGTATAAGTCATAAGTTTATTTTATAATCAAAAAATCTATTAGTATTAAAAATACTTTTTTTTTTTGGGTCCAGTCGTGGGGCCTGAACTCTGGGCCTGGGCACTGTCCCTCAGCTCTTCAGCTCAAGGCTAGTGCTCTACCACTTGAGCCACAGCGCCACCACAGTGCCACTTCCGGCTTTTTTCTTTTTGCTTATGTGGTGCTGAGGAATTGAACCCAGGGCCTTAGGCATGCGAGGCAAGCGCTCTACCACTGAGCCAACTTCCCAGCCCTAAATTTTTTTTTACTATATCATCTTTGGTTACAAACATGATCAAATCTACAATCAAAGTCACAAAGTCATTTTAACAAATCTTGATACTGGCTGTTAAGCACCCGATGGAAAATGACAAGGACAAAGGACTACTCAAGTCTGCTTAGTGTTAACTTTCTTCCATAGATCTTCAATTGTTTGTTTGTAAGGTGCTGTGATCATTCCCAGGTTTTTGCATATTTTAGACAAGTGCTCTACCAGTGAGCTAGACCTCAAGCCCAGCTCTTTGTATCTTATAAGCAAGATGTATTTAGGTCTTTTTCTTGCTGGTCCTGAGGCTTGAATTGGGGATCTGGGGCCAACTTTTGAGTTTCTTTTGCTCAAAGCTAGTGCTCTACCACATGAGGCATAGCACTTCTCCAGCTTTTTCTGTGATTAACTGGAACCACAATCCTCAGATTTCAGTCTTCTGAGTAGTTAAGATTTCAGGTGTGAGGAATGGGCCACTGGCTGGTTTTTGGTTTTTATTTGGAAGTAATGGGTTTAAACTCAAAGCCTTATGTTTGACTTATTTATGACTAGGCAAGCCTGGACTGCCACAATACTCCTTAAGCTTCCTGGTAGCTGGAATGACAAGTGAAAGCTATCATACCCAGAGCTTTTTATTAGTTGAGATGAGGTGTTAACTTTTTGCTGGGGCTATCCTCCAAATGCAATCCTAGCATCTGCACCTCCCAAGTAGTTAGGATTACAGAATTAAGCCACCTTACCCAGCTCAGTTTCAGGTACATATTTGTTAGGAACATATAGTTGTTACGTACAACTACTGTTCGATTCCCTCACAATAGTACTCACTGAAAGTCTGGTTTTCAGTTTCCTTGGTTATTTTCATTGCCTCTCTCTCTCTCTCCGTTATTTTTATGCCTTCCTCTTCATTCCCCCCCCCCCCCGCCCCCACCCCCACCCCCCCGCGACTCTCTGCTGGCTTCTTACTTTTTCTTTTGTCTCTTTCTCCTTCTTTCCCATTTTCTGGTGGTTACTTGGAGAGAAGAGTCTCAAGGACTTTCCTGCCTGGGCTAGCTTTGAACCACAACTCTCAGATCTCAGCTTCTTGAGTAGCTAGAATTACAGGCCTGAGGCACTGGTGCCTAGCTACTCCCAGCTTTTCTTTTTTGTAGTACTAGAAGTTGAACTCAGAGCCTTATGCTTGCTAGACCAGCCACCTACCATTTGTGTCAGGTGTTGATTATTTCTGAGGTAAAGTCTCACCGTATGGCAGTGCTGGCATGGGTTGCAATCCCCCTACCTGTACTTCCCTGTTTCAATGTGGATGACAGTCATATGCCAACACGTCCAGCCATTGGTTGAGGTAGAATTCTCTCTCAACTTCTTTGTTCCCAGGCTAGCCTCAAACCATGATTCCACAATTGCTACCTCCCAAATAGCTAAGATCACAGACTTGAGACCACACACAACTTTTTTTTTTTAACTGTAGTTCAAAGTTGGTGGCATCGGGCAGTTTTACCAGTAACACTGTCAGTGTTCTGCCACTTGCTAGTTATTTAACTCAGTCCCTGAGCTATTTCTGAAAGAATTCCAGGATACACTTGTAGATAAGACTCATGTCTTTGGCAATAGGTGGTTAGTGGTAACACTAGAATAATTCTGAGGCTCCTACCAGAGTAATCCTTTTTGTGTATACCTGTACTAGGGCTTTAATTCAGGGCCTCAGCTCTGTCCCTCAACTTTTTTTGCTCAACACTGGCTCTACCACTTAAACTGTATCTCTACTTCTGGATTTCTGCTGGGTAAATGGAGATAAGTGTCATGGACTTTTCTTCCTGCCTGATGATCCATCCTTAGTCTCAGCCTGCTGAGGAGCTAGAAATATAGGTGTGAGCCACTAACACCCAGCCTCAGAGTAATCTTCTGTCACAACACCTGGTCAATCAGCAAGCTTCCCTCTGGATGTTCTATAGAGATAATATTTTAAAATATCAAATCACCCTTTGAAATACAGTGGCTATTAAGATCTTTCACTGCTTTGAACAGATTTAATCCTTAGGTTATAGTTATCTAAGGCATTACCCACTGAAAGCCACTGCTTTTTCTTTTCTTTTCTTTTTTGGGTCCAGTCATGGGGCCTGAACTCTGGGCCTGGGCGCTGTCCCTCAGCTCTTCAGCTCAAGGCTAGTGCTCTATTACTTCAGCCACAGCGCCACTTCCGGCTTTTTTCTTTTTGCTTATGTGGTGCTGAGGAATCAAACCCAGGGCTTCAGGCATGCAAGGCAAGCGCTCTACCAATGAGCCACCTTCCCAGCCCGAGCCACTGCTTTTTCTTAGCTACTATTGCTCTAATTATTTACTACAACTGCCAAGCTCAGTCTAGGTATAAGACAAAATTATAGTCTTTATGTCTGCAGATACAGCTCAGTGGTGGACTGCTTCCCTACCACGCTCTATGTTCTATTCCCAGCACCACCACTCCCACCTCACAAAATTGCCAGTGAGTACCAGTGGCTCATCACTGTAATCTTATCTATACAGGAGGCTAAGATTTAAAGGATTGTTTGAGGTCAGAGCAGAAAGAAAAGGCCCAGACATTCCATCTCCAAATAACTAGCAAAAGGCCCAGGTTGACATGGTACCAGTGGCTCACACCTGTAATTCTAGCTACTCAGGAGGCTGAGATCTAAGGATTGCATTTGAAGCCAGCTTAGACAGGAAAAGTCCAAGAGAATCTTATCTCTAGTTAACCACCAAAAAGCTGGAAGTAGAACTGTGACTCAAGTGGTAGAGTGCTAGACTTGAGCACAAAAGTTCCAGACAGTGCCCAAGCTCTGAGTTCAAGCATCTTGACCAGCAAAAAACCAAAACAACAACAAAAAGCCCAAGTGTGGTTCAAATGGTAAAAAGCCTGCTGTGCAAACAAGCTGAATGTGAGCCTCCTGATCAAATCCAACTCCAGTACTTGCAAAAACAAACAAACACTATCAAAAACATACAAATAATATTGAAAGTTTACGTAGTAATTCAGCTAAAGCCTTTGTGACAAAATCCAGGAAAAATACTCTATAGGGGTTGAGAATGCGGCTTAATATTACAGTGCTTGCCTAGCATGCATGAAACTCTGGGTTTGATTCCTCAGTACCACATACATTGAAAAAGCTGGAAGTAGCGCTGTTGCTCAAGTGGTAGAGCGCTCAGGGACAGTGCCCACGCCCTGAGTTCAAGCCCTAGGACTGGCAAAAAAAAACAAAAACAAAAACAAAAAACCAACTCCATAGGAAATATGTGTTTCAATAATTTTGCCTTATTTAACGACAGTAATGTTAATTTCTAAAGTAAAGTATTTGGTTCTAATAGTGACTTGCCAAATGATAATTCTTAATTATCATTTATTTTTAAGTGATCCAAAACTGTATTCAATGTTGTATCTATACAAATGACAGTTAAGGACAATTAATATATTACACAAAATTGTATTTAGCATGCACTTATCCTGCTTAGCACAATTAATTGTGACTTTGTAATTTCAACTTATGATATACTATATATACATCTATACATAATTTAAATTGCTATACAGGTAGAGTATCCTTAAAAATCCAAAATCTGAAACTTTCTGAGCTTTAATATGATTCTACATTGAACCTCATGTGACAGGTCATAGTCAAAACTCCTGAAGGCCATGTGGATATGGTCTGTATAAAACAAAAATTAATTTCATGTGTAGATTTGGTTCCTAGCCACAAAGTACCTCACTATGTAAAAGCAAATATTCCAAAATCAGAAAAAAAGGAAAAGTCTAAAGTACTTTTAGTACTAAGCATTTCAGGTAAGGGATATTCAACCTTTATTATTAAATATAGCTAAAGCTCTAAATTCCCTCAGCAAACAAAACTCTCTTAAATTCTATGACATTTCAGGTTAGAAGAGATTACTTCAGCATAAACTCAATTCCTTATATAAAGAGATATGGGGGGCTGGGAAGGTGGCTCAGTGGTAGAGTGCTTGCCTTGCATGCATAAAGCCCTGGGTTTGATTCCTCAGCACCACATAAGCAGAAAAAGCTGGAAGTGGTGCTGTGGCTCAAGTGGTAGAGTGCTAGCTTTGAGCTGAAGAGCTGAGGGACAGCACCCAGGCCCAGAGTTCAGATCCCACGACAGACACCAAAAAAAAAAAAAAAGAGAGAGAGAGAAGATATGGGAAAATGTTAGTATTTGTACTTACTCCTTAATCCCTTCGGCTCTTCCTGACCTTTTTCTTCCTTGTCTAAATCCGGTTTTTTCTGAGATTTTTCTTTGAGGTCATTTTTTGGGGCCTCTTTTTCCTAAAGATATAAGATCCACAAGAAGATTGGATGAAGAGCTTATACAGCCTATTTGGACATGAAGAAACACTGGTTAGTAGCATCAACACTTCTCTATGTAAACTAGAGTACCTGACTGCTGACACAAGATCATAGCTTACACATCTAGCTTACACAACATCATATTCAAAACCCAATGTCTCGGGCTGGGAAGGTGGCTCAGTGGTAGAGCGCTTGCCTTGCATGCTTGAGGCCCTGGGTTCGATTCCTCAGCACCACATAAGCAAAAAGACAAAAGCCGGAAGTGGCGCTGTGGCTCAAGTGGTAGAGCGCTAGCCTTGAGCTGAAGAGCTGAGGGACAGCGCCTAGGCCCAGAGTTCAGGCCCCACGACCGGACCCAAAAAAAACCCCAGTGTCTCCAATCTCTTTTAACAATTGTTATTAAATATATAACATTTGAATATAATCAAACTTCTTTATATATACAAAATGTCATAATGAAATACACCATTATTCATTACATATTTCCATACACTAAAATAAACTGCCAATAAAGTTATAAAATATCAAATTTTTACTTTTTTTTGGGTCTGGTTGTGGGGCCTGAACTCTGGGCCTGGGTGCTGTCCCTCAGCTCTTCAGCTCAAGGCTAGTGCTCTACCACTTGAGCCACAGTGCCACTTCCGGCTTTTTTCTTTTTGCTTATGTGGTGCCGAGGAATCGAACCCAGGGCCTCACGCATGCAAGGCAAGTGCTCTACCACTGAGCCACCTTCCCAGCCCCTCAAATTTTTAAAAAATTCATGTAATCTTACTATAAGCTGATTATTTTTATTATTCCACACTCCTTTTATCCTTGTAACTTTGGAGATAACTCATTTTAACTTACATTGCATATACTGTTTTCCATTTCTTAACTTTTCCCCATAGCTCATTGACTATTTTTCTTTTTTTTGGTCAGTTGTGGGGCTTGAATTCAGGGCTCGGGTGCTGTCCTTTCTCTTCAGCTCAAGGCAAGCCCTCTACCACTTGAGCCACAGCACCACTCACAGACTATTTTTCAATAGAACAAATAATACTGTCATACTGTTTTTCTTTTTCTTTTGTGCTGGTCCTGGTGCTTGAACTCAAGGGCTTGGTGCTGTCTCTGAGCTGTTTTTTTTTTTTTTTTTTTGGGGGGGGGTCTATTGTGGGGCTTGAACTCTGGGCCTAGCCAGTCCCCGAACCTCTTTGTGCTCAAGGCTAGTAGTGCTCTACCACTTGAGCCACAGTACAACTTCTGGTTTTTGAGTGGTTAACTGGAGATCAAGAGTCTCACAAATACTTTTCTGCCCGGGCTGGCTTCCAACCTGAGCCTCCAGAGTAGCTAGGATTATAGGTGTGAGCCACTGGTGCCTGACTTGTCTCTGAGCTTTTTTGCTCAAGGGTAGCAGTCTACCACTGAGGCACAGTGTCACTTCTGGCTTTTTGGTGATTAATTGGAGATGAGTCTCATGAGCCATTAGCACTTGCCTTGTTTCCCCTTTTTCCAGACTCATCTTACTACATATGCTTCCTGCGGTTTGGAGCTCATTATGTAGTCCATACTGTACTCAAAGCCGTAATTCTTTTGCCTCAGCCTCCCAAGTGTTAGGACAGATTATAAGAAATTCATCTTGGTGTATGTGTGAGCCAGTACTGGAACTTTAACTCAGGGCCTGGGCTGTCCTTGAGCTTCTTTGCTCATGGGTAGCACCCTACTACTTGAGCCACAGCTCAAGCTCCACTCCTGGCTTTTTGGTGGTTAACTAAGAAATATGAGTCTCTTGACTTTACTGCCAGGGCTGGCTTCAAACCATGATTCTGAGATCTCAACCTTGTGAGTAGCTATATAGGTATAAGCCACCAATGTCCAGAGAAGTTTATTTTTTTATCGCCTTTATTTTCATAATCCTAAACATTTTCATTTTGAAAAAATGAGACAATTAAAAGTTTTATAAGAACAAAGATTTATAATGTAATGCATTGTGTAGTTCTAATTAAAGTGGTATACTAAAATGAATATGGATATAAAAATAAGCTCATGAAATCATAAACAATCATACAATGAATGCTACATTATCACTGAGTATCACTAAAAATACTCTGACTCTTGATAAATTAGCCTTCTATTTTTTTTTTTTTTTGGGGGGGGGGTCCGGTCGTGGGGCTTGAACTCTGGGCCTGGGTGCTGTCCCTCAGCTCTTCAGCTCAAGGCTAGCGCTCTACCACTTGAGCCACAGTGCCACTTCCGGCTTTTTTCTTTTTGCTTATGTGGTGCTGGGGAATTGAATCCAGGGCCTCAGGCATGCAAGGCAAGCATTCTACCACTGAGCCACCTTCTCAGCCCTAGCCTTCTATTTTTTAGTCGTATTTCACCTAAAAGAAAATTACATTGGAGCCAGGGGCCAGTGGTTCATGTCTGTAATCCTAAACTACTCGGGAGGCTGAGATCTGAGGATCACGGTTCAAAGCAAGTCTTGGCAGGAAAATCCGTGAAACTCTTATCTCCAATTAACCACTAGAAAACCAGAAGTGGAGCTGTGGCTCAAGTGGTAGAGCACTCCCCTTGAGCTGAAGAGTTCAGGAACAGCGCTCAGGCCTGGAGTTCAAGCCCTGCAACCGACAAAAAAAGAAAAGAAAAAAGTAAGTTGGAGACTTAAGGCTGGAGGGCCAAAGGCTAGAAGATCTTCAGTACTGCTACCTACCTACCTACCTACCAGTAAGTCACTCCCTAATAACCACTTCAGCAGTACTAATCTGTACTGAACACTCCTGTACTACTCTAAGTTCTCCCTAGAAGATCTTACCTCCTCTACTGAGTCAGATGGCTGGAGGATCTTGTCTTCACCAGCAGATCTAGAAGTCTTCTGTGTTTGGGCAGACAAATATGGCATTAATTTATCTAACTCTATGTCACTTGGCTTGATTCCCTGATTCCTCTGCTTTTTAGGCACAGTTTTCTTCTCTGCAAAGGTCTTCTTGTTTTCTAGCATTATCTCTTTCACTTCCTCAGCCTTTTTCAGTTTCTTTTTTTTCCTCTTGCCTTTGCCATTATCATCCTCATCCGCACTGACAGTGTCATTCAGCTGTTTCTCAAAAATACCATCTTGATTTGCATCCTGCTCTACTCTATCTTTTGTACTTTTTAGTGTTTGTTTCTCTTCTCTGTTGTCAGGAGGAAACTCTTCCTTATCATCCTCAGTAAGTGTACTTGATTCAGATTCCAGCTGACTGTCAACACATTTCTCTTTTTTTGTTTTTCTGTTGTCTTTGGGATCTTCTTTTACTTTATTCTTTACATCTCTTACATCTGCCTTTTTACCTTTTCTTAATTCCTTAGTTTCTTTTATTTCATCTTTTCTGGTCTTTTTGGAGTCCTTTAATTCTTCTTTGGCTTCCAAAGTTCTTTTCTTTGTCCTTAAATCTAAAACTAAACTTTCAGAGGCACTCCCCAGCTCTGATTTTACTCTCAGTTTGCCAGTCTTTGTTTTTCTCTTTTTCAGACCATCTGGGCTTTTATCTTCTTTGGACCTTAATTTCTTTTTCTTCCTTCTTGGGGAAGAATCTTCTTTTGCTTCACTTTGCTGATCACTATCAGAATTTGCTTCAAATATGTCGCTATTTAAAGACAATCTCTAGAAAATACAAAAAAAAAAGTTAAAACACTAACAATTTTAAGAGTTTTGAAAAGCAGCATAATGAAACCTGGTGGAAAACTATTCTATTTATTTATTTACTTATTTATTTTGGTTGTCATGGGGCTTGAACTCTGGGCCTGTGCACTGTCCCTCAGCTTTTCAGCTCAAGGCAAGCCCTCTACCACTTGAGCCACTGGCTTTTTCTGTTCATGTGGTGCTGCGGAATCGAACTCAGAGCTGCACACATGCTAGGCAAGCACTCTACCACTAAGCCATATTCCCAGCCCAGAGAAAGTTATTTTGAGCAAAACACAATATACTCACATCAGAAATACCAAGGTGAAAACCTCTGGTACAATTTTAATATGCATTAAAACAAAACCTATTACAAAATAAAGTAGTTGGAGTTGAAGGTCTTCTTTGATCTTCAATATTACACCCTTCCCCCAAATGGTGAACTGTTTAATTTTAACTGGTAGAGAAAGGTAGTTAAGACAGGTTAGCAGAGATTAAACAGGAAAGCATATATTCTTTCAATGACATACTGAGCAATATTTTCCAAGTATACTAAAACAAGTTGCTCACATCATCTTGGACAAACAAATGAATTTATGATACATCTTTCCTTTCTCTTCCCCTTTCCTTTCTCTTTCTCTCTCTTTTCTTGGCCACTACCAGGGCTTGAACTCATAGACAAGTTGACCATGTTCAACTTTGTTCAAACTTGTGCTAATTTAAGCCATATGTTTTCCTTCACTTCCATGATTTTTTTTTTTTTTTTGGCCAGTCCTGGGGCTTAAACTCAGGGACTAGGCACTGTCCCTGAGCTTCTTTTGCTTAAGGATACCACTCTACTACTTGAGCCACAGTGCCACTTCCAGCCTTTTCTCTTTATGTGGTGATGGAACTCAGGGCTTCAGGCATGCTAGTCAAGCATTCTACTACTAAGCCACATTCCCAGTGGCTTCCCCGCCTTTTTTTTTTTTAACAGTACTAAAGATTGAACTTAGGGCCTTGTCCATGATACACAAGTGGTCTATCACGAAGCTACACCCTCAGTTTTTCTGTTTTTACCTTTCACATAAAGGAAAATACTAACTAATTTATCTTTCATAGTTGAATGTCTCCCAAAGGTCTACGTGTTTAAAGGGTGGTGTTACCAGGAGGTAGTGGGACTTTTACTAGATCAGGCCTAGGAGGAGATCCTTAGGTCCTTGGGAAGATATCCTCAGAGGATTAGGGACCCTCATCTCTTTCAGCATTCTAGCTTATGCCCATAAGGAGTGTGCCACGTGCTCCCCAACACTGCCAGCCAGCATTTCTACCAGAGGTATACACAAAAAGAAAGCAATGAGTCTGCTGGATCTTGAACTAAAACCTCCAAAATAATGAGCCAATTTAAACCTTTTCTGTGTATAATTTAATTATCTCAGATTTTTTATGACAGTGTTAGTTGAGTGACACAACATTCTTCTATGCTTATTTATTAACTTATTGTAGGTTGGCTATGAGAACAAATAAGCAAAAATCACTGAGCAGTCTATATAAAACTTTCACTAAGTGCTACTATAAACTTTATTTTAGAAATGTGGCTCAAACCACATAAGTAGAATGCCTACTTAGTAAATGCTAGGCCAAAAGAAAAAAGAAAAAGAATGAGAGAAAAGTAAAAACATTCTTTTGGAACGTTCTGTGTGCTGGTAGCTCATACCCATAAGCCTACTCAAGTCTGTGAAATGCCAGTAATCTTCCAATAAACTTCAGAAAAAGCCGGAAATGGTACTGGATAGAGTATTTGTCTTGAGCAAAAAGAAGCTCAGGGACAGTGCGTAGGCCCTGAGTTCAAGACCCAGGAGTGAAACAAAAACAAAGAACAAAAAAAATAAAAATTTTGTTAGGATACCAACAAGAGGTGGGTAGACAAACAGAGGGTGAATAAATGTGACTGAAGAAGGGGAAAGGGAGTAAAGAAGAGTGATAGAGGGGCCAGTTTGATTGGGATACGTTGTATGCCACATACGGCAATGTCACAATGAAACTATCATTTGGGAGGAGAATGATAAAAGGGATGAAAATGTGCTGGGAAGGTGGCTCAGTGGTAGAGCGCTTGCCTTGCATGCATGAGGCCCTGGGTTCAATTCCTCAGCACCACATAAGCAAAAAGAAAAAAGCCGGAAGTGGCGCTGTGGCTCAAGTGATAGAGTGCTAGCCTTGAGCTGAAGAGCTGAGGGACAGCACCCGGACGCAGAGTTCAGGCCCCACGACCAGAACACCCCTCCACCCAAAAAAAGGGATGAAAATGACTAAAATGAATTGAAGCTGGTCACCAGTAGCTCATGCCTGCAATGTTAGCTACTCAGGAGGTTGAGATCTGAGAATCAGTTTGAAATCAGCCTGGGCAGAAATATCTGTTAAGAATCTCATCTCTAATTAGCAAAAGAAGCCAGAGTACAGGTATGGCTCAAATGGTAGTGATAAAATGCTAGCCTTGAGAGAAAAGCTAAGGGACAGTGCCTAGACCCACAGTTCAAACTCCAGTACTGGTACATACACTAAAAAGGGCACTGTAAACATAAAGTGGTATGTTGACTTGAAACCGACATGTACAACTACTTAAAGATATTTAATTTTTTTTTTCTTTTGCCAGTCCTAGGGCTTGAATTCAGAGCTTCTTTCACTAAAGGCTAGCACTCTACCACTTGATCCATAGCACCACTTCTGGCTTTTTCTGTTTATGTGGTACTGAAGAATCAAACCCAGGGCTTCATGCATGCTAGGCAAGCACTCTACCTCTAAGCCACAGCCCCTAAATATTTTTTTAAACCCCACTGCTTTTATACAACCAAGTAAACTGTTAAAAAAATCACTTAAAAAAGAAAAAAGAAGATGAGGTAAAACACAATACCTGAATATCCTTTTTGAATGCTTTAGCCTTGTTCTCTGAAATTTCCTTCTTAAATTCAAGAAGAACTTCTTTACAGTCCTCCAGGTGAATCTCAGGTTCCCAGGTGTCATCATCTGATGTATATCCTTTCCATCGAACTTTATAAAGGATCTTACCCTGTGGGATAAATTAAAAACAGGTTTATTGCTATGTTGCTAAGAATGTATAACTGCTGAGAACTTGAAAACTGCTTCAAAATGGAAATATCACATTATTATGTATATTTATACCTCTCCTGAAGCAAATGCCTTATGGAAAATCAGTATCACTTAACCTATTTTTTCCAAATCAAAGACCGAAGTGTTTATTTCTGATTATATAATACTGGAAAAACAAAAAAAAAAGAACAAAATGTCACTCAAAGATGGTAATCTGGTGGAGTTTCTTCCAATGATTGCATTAACATATATTGGAGGTTTTAAGATATTTATTTACTTATTGTTAATTATGGGGCTTGAACTCAGGGCCTGGGAGCTCTTCTTGAGCTTTTTCTGCTCCAGCATAGTACTCTACCATTTTCAGCCACAGTGCCACTTCTAGTGGTTAACTAGAGATAAACTCACAGACTTTCCTGACCAGGCTGGCTTAAACTGTAATACTAAGATCTCAGCCTCGTGAATAGCGTGAGCCACCAGGGCTTGGCCCATTTTTTATTTTTGACTGACTCAATTTATATATTTATTTATTTTTTGGCCAGTCCTGGAGTTTGAACTCTGGGCCTGGGCACTATCCCTGAGGCTTTTTTTTTTTTTTTGGTCCGGTCGTAGGGCCTGAACTCTGGGCCTGGGCGCTGTCCCTCAGCTCTTCAGCTCAAGGCTAGTGCTCTACCACTTGAACCACAGCGCCACTTCCAGCTTTTTTGCTTATGTGGTGCTGAGGAATCGAACCCAGGGCCTCTGGCATGCAAGGCAAGCGCTCTACCACTGAGCCACCTTCCCAGCCCATCACTAGGTTTCTCTAGCTAAAATCCATGATAGTTTGTGTGGTTCTCAGTGTTCGTACACATGAAAAAATCTAGACACCTTTGAGCATAAACATACTTGATCCATATTCCTGGAGGTTTTGATATGATTGGTCCTAGAATAAAAAGATTTTAAGTAATTCTAATGAATAGTTATTTGCTAACTAATAAATACATAATTTTAGCTGAGCACTGCGTTTCACACCTGTAATCCAGCTACTTAAGAGGCTAAGATCTGAGGATTGTGGTTCAAGCTCTACAACTGGCCTCCCTCCACCCCTTTTCCCTCAAGTATATATGTGGTGGGGGAGGGGGGGCCTTGGGTACTGTCCCTCAGCTCTTCAGCTCAAGGCTAGCACTCTACCACTTGAGCCACAGCGCCACTTCCGGCTTTTTTCTTTATGTGGTGCTGAGGAATCAAACCCAGGGCCTCAGGCATGCAAGGCAAGTGCTCTACCACTGAGGCACCTTCCCAGCCCCTCCCTGAGGTTCTTTTGTTCAAGGCTAGCTAACTTTACCACTTGAGCCACAGGCCTCATCAGACTTTTTGTGAGACTAATTGGAGATAAGAATCTCAGGGCCTTTCCTTCCAGGCTGGCTTTGAACTACAATCCTCAGATCTCAGCCTCCTGAGTAGCTAGGATTACAGGCGTGAGCCACTGTTGCCCAGCTTACATAGCATTACCTTCCTAATACCTTAAATATAAAGTATGAATTTTGAGATAAGGTCAAAGAAACAGATCAAATTATTATCTTTGGGGGGCTGGGAAGGTGGCTCAGTGGTAGAGGGCTTTCCTTGCATGCATGAGGCCCTGGGTTCGGTTCCTCAGCATCACATAAGCAAAAAAAAAAAAAAAAAAAAGCCGGAAGTAGCGCTATGGCTCAAGTGGTAGAGTGCTAGCCTTGAGCTGAAGAGCTGAGGGACAGCGCCCAGGCCCAGAGTTCAGGCCCCACTACTGGACCCAAAAAAAAAATAAAATAAAAAAAATAAAAATTAGAAACAATACTGTATGAGAGGCTTTAAAGAAAAGCTTTCAGGACCTATGTCAATCAATACCTATGCAAAATATCTGAACAAGAGCTGACCGGCTGATTGCTAAGTTTTCTTGAAGAACATCTTTGAAGATCTTAAGTATTTTGTAGAAAGCAAGCCATCTGTCTTTAGTCTCTTTCTGCTTTTATGGGTTAATTTTTGTTGATCTCACTTGGACCTGGATTTTAAACACAAATCTTAAATATTTGCTATCGATGACTTAGAATGACCTGAATTTGATGATGACATTATTTTTCTCTTTCTAAACTTACTCATTAAACTCTTATGAGAGAGATTACACTTAAAACTGAGTAAATTATTACTTTGAAATAATGCCTAAGTAAAAAAAATAAGAAAAATACTTTTTTTTCCTTTTCTTTCTTGGTTGTGCGGCCTCAACTCTGGACCTGGGCACTGTCCCTGAGCTACTCAGCTCAAGGTTAGCACTCTACCACTTGAGCCACAGTGCCACTTCTGGCTTTTTCTGCTTATGTGATGCTGAGGAATCGAACCCAGGACCTCATGCATGCGAGGCAAGTACCCTACCACTGAGCCACCTTCCCAGCCTCTATAGTACACACTTAACAAAAGTATTCAGAAGGCTGGGGCAGGAAGATTGGGGTGTTGGGAGGCCAACCTGGGCTAACAAAATTACAGGCAAGGGAAACAATAGAATGTTAAATAGTTACAATCATAATGTACAAATTTTTAAAAAGTATAGGTTATTGGGGACCTGGAAAGGAGCAATACTTGGTTTTGAACTCAGGGATCTCTACTTTTGAGCCAAGCCTTTAGGGTTTGTTTGGCTTTTTGTGTGTGCTGGTACTTGCAGTCCAAACTCATGGCCTTGAGCTCTCACTGGGCTTTTCGATGGTTTGGTTAACTGCTAAGAGTCTCATGGACCTTACCCCAGGCGTTGGCTTCAAACCTGATCCTCAGATCTCAGCTTCCTGAGCAGCTAGGATTACAGGTTTTAGCCACCAACCGCCTAGCCCAAACCTTTAGGTTTTAAGGGCTCTTAACACTCGCTGACTTGGTACGACTGGGATTTTATGCTGAGAACGCATGAAACTCCTTATTTTTAAGTCGTGTAATTTTGGTTTTAGAGAACACCGTAACGACGGAGAGTACACTGGCTCCTTTCTGGGCTGCTCCCAGGCCCTGAGATCAAGGAGCGTTAGAAAACATCGCACATCTGACTTCCAGAGTCGGCGTCTGGCACCTTTTCACGACCCTCCCATCACCTAAGCGGTTCCACCACCGTCTAAAACTTCCCGAAGCATCCTTCGCAGGCACGGCGAAGGCGGGTCGACCGTTTCTCTCCTGGCCGCGAGTAGGCAGGCCCCGCAGGCTCAGTGCCGCGGCCCCGGCGCTCCCCGCCCCGGCCTGGCCCTCACTCCAGGACCCCGCGGCCCTCCCCACCCTCCCCCTGCCGGGGCCCTCCATTCTCCTCCCGCACCCAAACCCGGCTCAATCCTCCCCGCGCGGCCCCGCACGCCAGGCCCTGCGGTCACACGCACCGCCTCGGTCTTCATGTCTAGAATCTTCTCCACCTCGAACACATCCTCTCCGTCCTCCTCGCTTTCCCCAACGGCCTCCGCTTCTTTCGTGGCTGCGTCCTCTTCGCCATCTCCGCCATCTCCTCCTTCGACACCTGGCCACTCACCAGAGCTGTCGGGCCCTGACATAGGTGCTGCGGCCGTGCTCGTTCCCTCCACACTCGGCGCCTCGGTCGCCATCGCGATGGCTCTCCAAACAACCGAGAAAAGCAATCTACACCACCTTAGAACAGCCTCGTGCTCCGCGAACACCTCTTATCCACTACTGCGAAGTGACACGGCCTTGAAGAACATTAGCCAATGGTGGACTCGGAGCCCTAGAGTGACATGTACACTACCCAATCACGTGAAGGCGGGTGAGCCAGAGCCACGCGGAGCGTACGGGAAGCGGGTGGGCCGGCCAGGGGCGCCCGGGGCGGAAGAACGCCACCGGCGGCGGGCGCCACCGGGGGCGGGGCGGAGTGGGTGGCTGGGCGGGAGTAGGTGGGGCTGCCGCCTGGCCTGACCTCCGCTGACGGCAGTGACGGGGCGGGGCGAGGGGGCGGGGCGAGGGGCGGGGGGGGCGAGGGGGCGGGGCAGGGGCGGGGCTACCGCCCGGCGTGGCCTCCGCTGATGGCGAGGGTGGGGTGGCATTGCTGAGTAGCTCTTCTACGAGAGTCCTCGGTAGCCTACTTCCGGGGGTGGGGGGGAAGAGACCCGAGGACTTCCTCCCGCGGATCGGATTCTCTGTGGGGGGCCTCGGACCAGGAACAATGAGCAGGAAGTCATCTGTATACATACACATATGGAGCGCTTGGATTCGCTCGACGTGTTTATACTTCACCTGCAGCTTGTCTGGTTTAGTACTGTTTAAAGAGCCGGACGTTTGGCTGTGGGTGACTTCAGAGCCTCTGCTTGCAAGCCCTGAGTTTAAGCCTCAGTTCCACCAAACAAAAAACAAAAAAAGTTAAGACGAAAATCAAGTGAACTTTTTTTTTGGCTGGCTCTGGCACTTGAACTCAGGGCCTGGGCCCCGTCCCTGAGCTCCTTCTGCTCAAGGATGGCGCCCTGCCGCTGGAATCACAGCGCATTCCCACCTTTGGAGTATCGGAATCGTTTACTGGAGATTAGAGTCTCCTGGACTTTTCTGTCCAGGCTGGCTTCGAACTGTCATCCCTAGATCTCAGTTCCCTGAGTAGCTAGGATTATTGGCAGAAGTCACCAGGGCCCTGATCTCGCCTCTTCCCCGCTTATAAACCTAGCTACTTAGGAGGCTGAGCTCTCCTCAACCTGGTTCCAAGCCAGCCTTGGCAGGAAAGTTTTTCAAAGACTCTTATCTCCAGTAAATCACTCCCCAAAATCCAGAAGTGGAGCTGTGTGTGGCTCAGCTTTGAGCAAAAAAGCTGAAGGACAGCACCAACGCCCTAAATTGAGTTCAAACCTCAATACCAGCACACACACAAACACACACACACACACACACACGAAGTACTTTTAAGATATGCCTGTCTTCTCACAACAATCACTTGGGCAAGGTGAAAAAGGTGAAAAGCTTCAGTTTAGACCAAGGAGAGCACACATTGTGTTTATAATTAAGTTATTCATTAAAACAGTGTTTTGTGTTTTTTTTTAGCTCCTGGTTTTTGAGTTCCATAGCCCATTTTTCCTACTCTATCCTGTTTCAGTAGTACTTAGCAATTTAATGGTGTTTAACTTTTTCTAGTTTACTCATGAACTCAGGGCCTAGGTGCTGTCCTTTAGTGGTAGATTAGCTCTCTACCACTTGAGCCACACACCCATTTCTGGTTTTTGTGGTTAAATGAAGATGAGTCTTAAGGACTTTCCTACTTTGGTTGGCTTTGAACCATGATCCTCAATCTCAGCCTCCTGAGTAGCTAGAATTACAAGTGCCTTGTGCCACCTTTTCATCCTCCTTTTATCCAATTCCTTAGTACAAAGAGTTGAAAGAGTAAGCAGAAGCAGTTTTCTTTCTGTCAAAGAGATTACAGTTTATCTTCAAGATAGTGAAAAGCCACTGAGAGACTTTAAGTGGCAGAATGATATCACTAGGTATATATTTTGGATCAGTATGGAACCTAGATTGGAGGGTTTAAAGACAGGAAGCTTAATGAAGAGATATCAAAATGTTGGATACTTGTTCTACCTACTCTGGAAGCTGAGGTAGGTGGATCATTTGAGCCCACAAGTTTGAGGACAGCCTGAGAAACACAGTAAGATCCTGTCTCTCTAAATATAACAAAAATAAAATTACTCAGATGGCATTGACTAGAAGTAAAGTGAAATAGATATATTTGATAGCCATTAGTGAAGTAAAATCAAGAATACATGGTTAGGGGCTGGGAAGGTGGCTCAGTGGTAGAGTGCTTGCCTTGCATGCATGAGGCCCTGGGTTCGATTCCTCAGCACCACATAAGCAGAAAAAAGCCAGAAGTGGTGCTGTGGCTCAAGTGGTAGAGTGCTAGCCTTGAGCTGAAGAGCTAAGGGACAGCACCCAGGCCCAGAGTCCAAGGCCCATGACTGGCAAAAAAAAAAAAAAGAATACATGGTTAATTTGATGTAGGGAGAGAGTAAAGGGTGATCTTTATTTCTAGTTGAAGCTGTAGATAGGGTCATGGTTTTACCATTTTACTGGATAAGGAATATTGTAAAAAAAGCAGGTTTTGATATTCATATGGTCCAGTTTAGACCAAGGAGAGCACACATTGTGCTTATAATGAAGTTATTCATTAATATACTGTTTTTCTTAGCTCCTGGTTTTTGAGTACCATAGCCCATTTTTCCTAATCTATCCTGATTATGTCTTACTTAGCAATACTTAGCAATTTAATGGTTCAAGCCAGGATGCTGTTCTTGAACTTTTTCTGCTCAATGCTAGTGCTTTACACTTGAGCCACAGCTCCACTTGTGGCTTTTTTTTTTTTTTTTTGGTAATTCATTGGAGATTACAGTCTCATAATTTTTTCTGCCCTGGCTGGCTTTGAACTGTGATTCTCAGCTCTTAGCACCTGAGTAGTGAAGATTAAAAGTGTGAGCCACCAGTACCCAGCCAGTTTTGATATTTTTAAGAAGTAACAATGAATATTGATGTAAGTATGACCCTCACTCCCCCTGAAAAACACCAATTTAACAATAATAGATGGACAAAATTACCTTCAGAGATTGCATCATCCAGATGGACACAAGGCCAAAAAGAAATTCATTGAAGCAAGTAATAATGTTCTTGGTATTTCACTTGTCATTGTTAAAGAAAAGCAAGGACAATTTTGTTCTTAACAGCAAGGACAATGGAGATTTATAAATAAGAAGCAGGGTGTGGAGCAGAAGATGCAAAGTGTATATGAAGAGATCTTAAAGCAAGAGAGAAGCTAGCCATAATGGCATACACCTATAATCCTAGAACTAAGACCGAGGCAATAAGTATAAGGTCCACTCCTGGATGGCTAGCAGACTCCACCCTCCTCCCAGCAAAGTCTCCACCCAGTACCTGCGTTACCTAGGCAACTGGGTCACCTGGAAGAGGTCACATCTGCATCCGCTGAGGTCACATCTGAATTTGATGTGGCCACACCTTTCTCCGCCCATACCCTAGATAAGGCCTAGCCCAGGCCCAGACGCTCTCTCTGCTCTTTTCTAGCTCTAGCTCTCTCTGCTCTTTTCTAGCCCTTCTCTAGCTCTTCTCCTTTCTAGCTATTTTCTCTCTTTTCTAGCTTTCTCTTAGCTTTTTCCCCAGCTCTCTCTTTCCCAGGCCTTTCCCCACCGCATGGAGGATCAAGATGGCCTGGTGCCAGCCTGAACCAGCCGTGTGGAGTGCCAACCTTGCCTGGTCCCAGCAGGTCTACTGAATAAACCTACCCCTTACCTGAATACCACGTGCGTGGTGCTGTTCTTACTCGGCTACCTCTTTTTAAAAACCTAACAATAAGAACACAAGTTCAAGGCCAGTTTGGGCTACATTGTGAGACCATCTCTAAACAAAACCAAAAACAGTAATAAAAGAAGGTTTTTATGTGTGTTTTTGTGTAGATGTGCCAGTTCTGAAGTTTGAACTCAGGTACTAGGTGTTGTCTCGGAGCTTTTTCTCTGAAGGCTGGCACTCTACCACTTGAGCCACATTTTCACTCGCAGCTTTTTTGGAGGGCGGGGGAAGCTCAGGGGTAGTTAATTATAGATAGTCTTATGGGCTTTCCTGACCTGGCTAGCTTCGAACCCCAACCTTCAGATTTCTTCCTCCTAAATAGCTAGGAATACAGATGTGAGCTTCCAGTGCCTGGTGAGATTTTGGAGTGAGTGAGTGAGTGAGTGAGTGAGTGTGTGTGTGTGTGTGTGTGTGTGTGTGTGTGTGTGTGTGTGTGTGTGTGTGTGTGTGCTGGTACTGAAGCTTGAACTGGTGTCCTTGTTTTTCATTTAGTGCTAGTGCTCTACCACTTGAGCCACACTTCCCTTCCCAGCTTTTTTTTCCTGGTTTATTGGAGATAAGAATCTTAAGGGCTTTCCTGCTTGTGTTGCTTTTAAACTTTGATCCTCTGATCTCAGTCTCCTGAGTACCTAGGATTACAGGTTTAAATCTGACTGGATTTTGATGTCTGATAAAAGTGAGTTGACTGGGTTTATGTTGAAGGCAAGTCAGTATGGTTAAATCTCAGTGGAGCTGGTGGAGGATGATTAACTATTGAGGAGGATAAGGTAAATGGAGAGTTCATACTAATTTGATTTAGCAAGAATCTTGTTAAAACTAAGATGTAGTTTTGCGTCACAGAGATGAACACAAAAGCTTTTCAAGGTGTAGGCACTGTTAAGCAGAGGGCTCAGTGATACCCTATTCAAGATCGGGCCAAGACTTTTACTCTAGCCATTGTGGTGTGATTAAGAAAAAATTTCCGTCTTTTTCTTTGGGAAGAAATAGAGAGGGAGCCATATGTCTGATGTTTAAGCTTTTGAGGAGATCTTCTTGAGGAGTAAGTTTCAGTTTTTCATTCTTTCCTGATTTGGAGTGCAATCCAGTTTTTAGGTTCACTATGAGATTTACTTAATATTTAGGGAGAACATAGGTAAGTACAATGGCCTTTTAAAGGTGACAAACTGTAATGCCATAAATGGGGGAGGAAGAGATTGCAAAGTACAGGAAATTATCAAATATCTTTTCAGTTAATTTACAAAGGGCCTGGTGCCAATGGCTCACAATTGTAATCCTAGATACTCAGGAGGCTGAGATCTGAGGATTATGGTTCAAAGCCAGACCAGACAGGAAAGTCTGTGAACCTCATCTCCAATTAATGAG